TTCATATGACTTGGGGAGGATAAGGTAGGACTTGATTGTGAGGTTATTGAGCAATCCAAAGACCATGGTCATGCCAGATTTGCACGAAGAAATCAATTCTCAAAGTTGACCACCCAGGTCATGCTGGCCCCCCACACATCGATTTTAACAGCCTTGATATGACCTGCTTGACTTCAGGCATGACTCATTTTAGAGGTTATTGGACCATACAAACATGTTGGTCATGCCAGATTTCCCTCTTAAAATCATTTTCCAAATTTGACTACAACCCCTGTCATGCCCCTCCCCCCCCACCCAAAGATTGATTTTTTCAGCCTTCATATGGCTTGCTTGGCTGTATCTAGGACTCTTTCTAGAGGTTATTGGACCATCTGAACACATTTGTCGAGCCATAATTGCACAATAAAATCAAATTCCAAAGTTGACCCCCTAGGCCATGCTGGCCCCCCCACACATCGATTTTTACAGCCTTCATGTGACTTGCCTGGCATCATGTAGGACTTGATTTCGAGGTTATTGAACACTACGAAAAGGATTGTCGAGCCAGAATTGCACAAAGAAATCAAATGCTGAAGTTGACCCCCTAGGCCATGCTGGCCCCCCCACACATCGATTTTTACAGCCTTCATGTGACTTGCCTGGCATCATGTAGGACTTGATTCCGAGGTTATTGAGCACTCCGAAAAGGATGGTCGAGCCAGAATTGCACGAAGAAATCAAATGCTGGAGTTGACCCCCTAGGGCATGCAGGCCTCCCCCACATATCGATTTTTACAGCCTTCATATGACTCGCAAAGGTTGATGTAGGACTTGTTTCCGAGGTTATTGAACACTCTGAAAAGGATGGTCGAGCCAGATTTGCATGAGAAAATCAAATTCCGAAGTTGACCACCAAGGCCATGCTCCCCCACCCAAAGATCGATTTTTTCAGCCTCCATATGTCTTGCTTATCTTTAGGTAGGACTCGTTCTAGAGGTTATTGGACCATACAAACACGTTGGTCGAGCCAGATTTCCCTCTAAAAATCATGTTCCAAAGTTGGCTGCCCCTGTCATCCTTCCCCCACCCAAAGATCGATTTTTTCAGCCTTCATATGGCTTGCTTGGCTTTAGCTAGGACTCGTTCTTGAGGTTATTTGACCATCTGAAGACGTTGGTCGAGCCGGAATTCTCTCTAAAAATCATCTTCCAAAGTTGGCCACCAAGGCCATGCTCCCCCACCCAAAGATCAATTTTTCTAGACTTCATATGACTAGCCTGTCCTTCAGAAGCATTTTTCCTGGGGGTTATTGAGCCCTCTGAACACGATGGTCATGCCAGAATTGCCTGGAAAAATCGTGTTCCTGAGATATACAAGGTCCTCCCCCTCCTCCTGACCTCCTATATGTCACTATCCCGGTGTTCTGCCTCAATACCGATACTGAAAACATCTCTCCTAGGGTATTTGAGGCCTCTGAATCGATTGGGAATGGTCCCAGACCCTCCGGAGGTCGGCATTCATGTCATATGGGAGGTGGGCTCAAATATCAGTATTTTGGACATATCTCCACAACCGAACCGCCGATTTTCTTAATTGTTGGCTCATATCCATCCCAGAAGTACCCTCCATGATATGTACCAGCCCACCAAAAGATATTTTTTTACAAGTTTGAAACCTATTTCTGTTTTGACCCTATAAATGGTCCCAGACCTTCCGGAGGTCGGCATTCATGTGATATGGGAGGTAGGCTCAAATATCAGTAATATGGACATATCTCCACAACCGAACCGCCGATTTTCTTAATTGTTGGCTCATATCCATCCCAGAAGTACCCTCCATGATATGTACCAGCCCACCAAAAGATATTTTTTTACAAGTTTGAAACCTATTTCTGTTTTGACCCTATAAATACTATGTTCATATATTGTCTGTGTCGATTTCCATTATGGTCCGCTGTTCATGATAGGCCTATCTGCGGACCTCTATTGACATCTACATAGATATCAATACAAAATATTAATCATTAACTCTCATGTTGTCCATCATCACTGAGTGTTTCTTCGTACCTATGTGTAAATATTAGCTGTATATAGGGTTCATGTATCATTTATGTTGATAGTTTTATTGTCTATATGTTAGTAAATGTCTATAGAACACACACACGTTTTTGGTTTTGGGCCTTGGGGGGTAACAGAACCATACATTTAACTGAACCCATTTACAATATCCCTATATAATTGGCATGCGTCGTTAGGCCATTTTAATCTATTAAAATGCCCTACAAAAACTTCCGACAGAGGGTGTTCGGACTTTGTTGACTCAGGGTTTGAAGTTTCTCAAACGAACCGAGTAACATCCGAGTGATAACAGGGTACCATGATCTCCACTATATTGCAGAGGGATCGTACAAGAATCGTATTCAAGATATCGCATCATCAATCATGCGTAAGTAAGGAGGTGAGTAATCTTCGTAACGAACATAGAAGATCATTATGAAAGGTATCGCAAAAGTCAGAGAGGTATCGCAAAAGGTACATATGATGAAGCAAGAAAAGACAGTTCACAAACACAAATAAGTACGGAAAAAACATCTAACACGCATCAATAGACCAGCTCTACCCCAGCGCTTGGAACAGAACCCAACCAAGTAATGCGCCAAGGCATCTAAATCTCAGCCCTCATCGGCTCTCGAAACCAAGGCACAGGCCCGCTCATCTCCTCAGAACCCGAAGTAACAGTCGTTCTTGTCATCTCCGTATCATCGCTCGTAACCGTCGTGTCACCTACACTACGGATAGTCGGTTGGGAGAGCACCGAATGAGCAGTGAACGAAGGCATCGGTCCAAGGATCGACATGCGGCTGCCTGGCTCCGCGAACGGGTCCTCGTATTCCTCAGCAGTGTGGGACATGTACCGCAAGGGATCTGCATGTCCGAACGCACTGACAGATGGCGAAATAGTACCCAGCGGTCGACCAGAGTTCAGGGATGCAGATGACGTGGTCGCTACGCGTGAGTGAGCAGAATTTGCAGAAGGACGAGAGGAATTGGACCCTGAGAGATTGAAAACGCGAGCAGAGGATGCAGGTGCTGAGCCTGAAGATGAACGTGCAGAGTAGGGGCTTAAGTGCGAGCGCATGGAGTGCAGAGACCCTCGCTCAGAGACCATGGGGTTCCCTTGATGAATAACTTGGGGCTGTATCAACAAATATCGTTAGTCCAAGATTGTCGACGGCGGTCCCGGGACTTACAATTCCAAATGACGTCCTCCGTTCGCTTGGGTCTGGTCCTGCACTGACACCAAGAAAGCCACCAGCTAAAGTCCTCCAGCCATCACCTGCTCGTGGCGGCTCGGCATCAAGAACATCAATTGTGATGCCGGCGCCATTTGACGAGCCCGTAATCACGGATAGCGAGTCTCTCCACGCATGGCGACTGGACAACGGGACAAGACCAGGCGGCAAAGGTCTGCCGCTCGTCGAAGCTGATGAGAAGGGAGCCGGCGCTGGTATATCAAGTACATCGATGCCTGTTGGGGATAACGGGCTAGGATTCCTAGTACCCAGCAAATCGTATGGGTCATCATATGCTGGGGGTGCTCCACTCGGCACAGGAAGTGCAAAGTCCGTTGCAAACGCTGTGCTTCCCCTCTGACTCGCAGGTGTAAGTGCTCTGGAAGGAAGAGAAACAGGTGTGCCTATACGCGAGACTGCGTCATGGTACAGGGTGTTCCCGGATACTGCGCTCTTAGCGCTCACGCTCGACATTGGACGCTCTCCTGCCATGGTATGGCCTACACCGAGTCTGCGGCCGAGCAAGGATTGCGATGCTTCAGCGTCTTTATCAGACCCCCTGCGCGAGCTAGGTCCTGATGCGCTGCGAGATGACGAGGACCCAAACCAGCTCCTTCGCAGACGGGAGAAGGAGTTGCGCCAGCTACCAGATGCTGGGGCATGCTGGGTGATTGTAGAGTCATCATCTTGGGGGCTGCGCGAACCTAGCTCCTGGACGCGTACGCGGCGAGCGGTGAAGACTTTCGAGTCCTCCAGGTCACTGGTTGGGTACGATGCACTGCGCACGGATTTCTCCTTCTCATTGAGTAGGGACCGGTCTGAAGGTTTGCGCGTAGCGGGGCCCTCGAAAGGTGGGGGAGGGAGTAGAGATGCGATGTGCTCTGGCAGAGAGGGATGGCTTGAGCTGTACATCCGCGGTGGGGGTATGTCCTCCGGCTCTTCCTCGTCTGCAATCTGGAGGAGCTCGCCAGGAGGCATGATGTGCCCTATCATTTCGCTGCTAACGCGGGCAGGGACGCCATCACCACTGTATGCCTGTCCAAAGATTCCTGAGCCAGGCACGACGACACCATAGTCTGTCGAGGCCTGGGAGGACCTTGTTCTGTCGGAGCCAGTGCTTCCCATCATATGGGGTGGTGCGGCACCGGGTGGAAGCGAAGATACTGGTCGTGGGCGATGTTCAGGATCTGTGGCGGTGCTGTGACGGAGGAAGGAATCTGCTTCTTCACCGCTGTCGCGAGGAGAACCCAGACCAGCTGGACGGTTCTCCTCGTCACCGGTTGCGTCGGGCGTAAGGACGTTCCATCCGGTCCATATGGGTGTGATGGCTCTGGAGTCTCGTCGGCGGGAGTTCCAACGGACGAACCAGATGAAAAGCAGAAGCAAGAAGATGAACAAGACGATGGCACCGATGATGATGCCAATGAGAGCGCCTTTAGATAGGGCAGTTGCATTTGAATTCGGATTTGATATCGCAGAGGTGGAAGGGGATGTAGATGTAGATGTCGCAGATGTAGATGTAGACTGATAGGATGATGAAGAGGATGTGGGTGTCGCAGAGGATGTGGATGTCGCAGAGGATGTAGGGGTGAAGGTAGAGGATGTCGCGGTGGATGGTGTCGTTAGAGAGGATGTTGAAGCTGCTGGTGAGGTGAGACCACCGTAAGTCCAAGCACCGTCACTGCCCAAGGGGATCTGGATGGCAAGGATGTTAGTATACGCACAACGGATGACATTTCCCAAGCGCATTCGCTTGAAGGTCACATGCCGACCTCAGCAGTGTCTCCGTAGAAACAAATGCGGATCTTCAAGCAAAGAAAGAAATAAGCAGCCGAAGGGTACTCACACTTGGACCGTAGTATGTGAGTGGAAGCTGAAGGGTAGTCTCGGTCGTCACAGTTTGCCCTGCAGCATTGGTGTACACGGTAGTTGCCAGTGTCATCCATGACGGTAACTGTTGAGTGGCAGCCATGAGTTACACAAGCGTATGGAATGCTGTGAGTCCTCGTTGCGGAGGAGTAGTCGTAATGAGTGATTGAATGAAAGTGCCTTTGCACCCTGCTGTTGAATCACAAACGTGTGGCACAGAATGTCCCAAAAGTACGCACAAAAGGTTAGGATAAATCGCAAGAATTATCCGTGATGAAAAGACTGAATTCGTGAGGTAGAGATAACGCAAGGAAATGAGAAAAAATTGCGGAAGGAGAGGTGCGGTGGAAAGACACGCGTGGGCCAAAAAGAACCACCACCTGTCTTTGGCAAGTCGCGGTTCATTATTGTCACGTGCGTTGAGCTTCTACGCACGTGATTAGATTAACCGCGCTGCCATAGCTCTCGCACGTATGCCCGCAAGTTTCTCTCCATCTGGCCCCAAATACCGCGCCTTCCGCTACCACTTTCCCTCGCATTACAGGTGCTCCCTCTCCCCACCCTCCGGCGCCTTCCGATGTCTTCCCTCAAGGTTTTTCTTGTCGTGTCTTCCGTTGACAGCCAGTCCATCGACGGTCTATAATTTTCTCCGAGCGAGTGCGAGAAGACAAAAGTGCCCCATGGCACGACAACTCTTCACAGTCGGAAGGGGAACAATGTGACGATATTTCAGCTGCTACTAGTTGTCGTGATCGCTGGGCGTTCCTGCTCTGGGGTCGTTTCAGGCATCACAACTTCGTGTAATATGGTGGTTGATTCTTTATCTCGTATTTTTTTTACTGACATCGTTGTTATTGTAGTCGTCGAGGCTCGCGTCATCTTCTACTACTAAGGGGTGGTTTCGTAGCATATACTCACTCCCGCGCAACAGCGAATCCGAAATTCGTGGATATCCATTTATCTCTTCCGAAGCTTCAGCATGACCAGGACTTGCGATGGGTACCATTTCACGTCCCCGTCGCACGTATACTTCCCTGGTCATTGTATCATTGCACTTCTTCGATACATGTGCTTCGCCACAACGTGTGCCTATGTGAAATTATCTCTTTCCCCGCAACATCCTGTTGATCCCGTCGCATATTATCTTTTGGTCTCGGTGCTTAGTCTAATCATACCAGCGTCTATCGTATCGAACAGCCCTCAACAACATGATCATACTCTCTAACCTTATTCAGTGGCACCTCAGACCTCCGTGTTCAAGAAGACCAGCGGCTTTAAAAACGGCTTGCAGAATGGCTTGTTTTTATCCAAAATGATCCCCCCTTTTGTGGGGTTGTCAGTCGCATTTTTTCCAGTACGAGCTAATTTATTGTGATGGCACTCGCGGCTCCAGTGTCCTCAGGGCTCATTTTGCATAGATCCCAAACATATATATGATCTCAAATGACATCGACAACCTCCCTCCTGCAAACTCCAGCCTCGTACTGCACGATCTTGACCCCAAGTGAACGCCCCACCAGCCTACATTTTACTTATGCCTAATGATGGTTTACTCCGCATCGCACCTCGTGATTGGCACTCTTGCTTTCGACGTTGTCGACGCTGAAGCAATGTGCAGGACATGTGGGCTCCCAGGCTTCACTGAGCAGATGACCCCTGCGTGGCGCATATGATTTGATGATGGTGTGTGTGTTGCTCTTTACTGTGTTGAGCAAGATTACGGTTGAAAGACGTTCTGAGGCTAACAAGCGCCAATGTCGCAACGAAGTACAAGAAGCACGATACGTGCAGCGAAGGGACGCATCCACTCCAGATATATTCGATATTCTGCTGCCCTGCTATATCTCTGTAATATTGGTAACATCAATTCTCAAAACTTGGAGATGGAACCGAAGAGGTACCGGGATGGTTGCGGCTTAGATGCCTCAGGTAATACTTTTTGTCGCACTCAGGTGTTTATTGCCAGTGGTGCTACGTTTTCGTGGTCTCTTCTTATTTCTTCCATATCCCTTTCTCCAGTTTCTCGCACGTCTTCAAGCAGAATTTCATCGATTTCTCGCATGTCCCTGAGCCTTTCGTCTGCACTCTCCACCCAGTTCATACGCATTCTCCCCGTCAGTTTGCTCCAGTAATACAACTCAATGTTCTGTCCACTTGGAGATTTTCTTTATGTCACTTCATGCGCTTTAAGTTGTTTGCTTTGCCTGCTTCACCAACACTTTGCTCATCATAATATCTAAGTTGCCTCGTGATCGCTCCGCTTTGCTTGTCATCAACATTCTGGGTTTAGGGTTATTTCGGGCATCACAACTTCACGCGGTCTGATCCTCTCCATCTCGGAATTCGTGCTGACATCGTTAACGTGAAATTGTAGCCTCTCGCAGTTTGTTCCATCTTCATTGCTGGTTGCGCCTTCATTTGTTTGGGTTCGCATCACGCCTCGTTCCCCGCGGCTTCACCTTGCCTGCGGCTTCTGATTTGCTAGCGGAGTCCTCTTTCCTCGGCACACCCTGTCACAGACCAGATCTGCTGACGACAGATCCATCCATCCCCCACCTACCTTGCGAAGGTTTGTATATTGTCCCCTCTCGATCCTCGTCGATGCACCCTCATCCCTAACCAAACCGCGCGATTGCCCTGCTCTGACTAACAGATTCATTCCACTATTGAATTGTGTCGCAGTGGCTATCCTCGTCTCTATCACTTTGGCACTTGGTCACCAGTATTCATCTTCATTTGACTTTGTGCCTCGTCGCCACACCCGCGGCATCCTGTATTCCATATCTTCAATTTGGAAATGCAGGATGGGTGGTCCCCCCCTTTCGCTTCGTGTTCTGTCCTTTGACAATTCTGCTTATAGGGAACGCCTCCACTTGCCAAGTCTGTGATTTCTTTGAAGCCTGGATTTTCGTGTGTATCCATATCCATCATTGCCCCCGATGCTTCCATTGTTCCCCGCTTGTTCAAGTTTGAGGGTCAGCCTCAAGTCAGCCTAGCATTTTTTCTTGACCTTTACAGCCCCCCTGCGTCAATTTTAAGCGGTGAGCTCATGGGCTTCATGGATGCTGCCCTTCTTGTGCTTTAACCACTCTGTCACCTATGTGCGCAGGTCACAAGAATGCCGTGCATGCAGTATTTGACAACGACGCCCTCCCTAATGTACTGGCTCATATCTGGTAGAAATCTTCCCGCTAACCGGAACCTTTCTATCCATTGTTAAATCAAGGTTTTTGTTTTGTTTCATATGATATTGGAGAAATGGCATGACAATCTTGCCGTCTAGTAAACATAGGCATCTAAGGTATAATTAAGTATCCGATTTCCGACTCGTACTCCCTACCAGTGTCCCGTAAGCAGATTCCGAACTCGACCTCGACAGGAAAGCCGTCGACGACACACTCGGAGACCGCAACCGCCGAGCTGGCGTAACGACCTTCAGAAAGTTATCCGCAGGGATCTTGTCTGCTGCAGGCCATCCTCTAGGAGAGTAACTGGATAGCGATTCAGGGGGTGTCATATCTTGTGCATCATGGGATGGAGTCATAGGAGAGAGACATAAGAATGTTGTCCATATACGAATACTGCCGTCGTGCCCGCCTACAGCAAATGCGAAAGGGTCACCTGTGAGGCGATTGCATGATATACAAGTCAAATCCTGGTCAGGGTTCATAGGGTAGATATGATGAAGAAGGCTGGCAGATTCTCGATCCCATATGAGGATATCGCCGGCTACACAAACATCGTTAGCGGTGGTTGGGAAAAATCAGGATAAAATCATACATTTTCCGGCGCAAAGTATGAACTGGTCGTTCTTGCCGCCAAACGTTGATCCAATATATTCAACGGTGACTGTGGACGAAAATACATGGCGGAATGTGAGTCTCGCACAATTACGGGGAGCCCGACCCCGGCCCCCGACCAGATCCATTTTCCAGAGCTGAGGAGGGGACTGTAGGCGTAGAGCATAAGTGGTAACCATATCATTGTTCATTGTGAACTACGAACCTGATCCCCGAACGAAAAGAGGAGGTGGGTGTTGTTTCTTGCCAATTTGACGTCATTTACATCCTGAAAAAGGGGTATTTGACTTTACAAATTGCGCGTCAGCGGTATTGTTATTTAGATGTGAACAATCAGTGCCTCACCTTTCACAGAGACGTGTACGTGTATTGTACACTGAAACGTTTGTGAGCTACCACTGATCTTCGCATGGGTGGGTTACTTACCTACAATGCGTTTTTCCACTCTCGTAGGACGACTGGGATGGAGTCCGTTAGGCGCCTCCCCTATAGGACCAATGCCTATTATACGATCGCCATCCGATGTAACGACGATCCGTCGAAGTTGAACACGCCCGAAGCTATAAGTTTCAAGGACCTTCTCGGATGCTTTGGATTAATTCTAACTTCGAAAAAAAATGTGGTATTTACCTCTCCATCTTTGTCCTAAGGAATGTCACGCTTCATAATCTTGGATAAGTTGGAATGGGACGTACTAGTTTCGCGATTTCATTCCCCTCGACAGACAGAACAGACACTTGGGGACTATTAGGCTTTGGAAGTGACGTACAGCGTTCGATACCACTTACGATCTTCAAGAGGCATCCACTGTAAAAACTGGACGATGTGTGGCCGACGGAATGTTTTTAAGCAAACACCATCCTGGGACGGAGTCAGGACGGAACGGAAACTCTAGATTGTATCTTACTCTTGTCCATATCTTGATGCCGCGGGGAGACCTGGTCAACACGTGGGTACCACACGCAGACCTGTTGAGATAATTAACCATCGTGATGAAAACAATGATATTTCTAGGATTCACGTACCAAAGTATTTGTTCCGTAAAGCCTCTCTCATGGTAAAGAACATGATGATCAGTGGACGGTTCCTTTAGCATATGACGGTCAGATCTCCAAAGTTTGTTGTGAGACTAGTAAGTCGGCACTTACAGCGACCTTGAATATACACGCCGTCTTATCCCAGCTATCGATAAAGAAAAATGTAAACGAGGGAACTTCACGATGATCAGGAAACTATTGCAATTACCTTGCCGTAGCGAGATACTTTCCATCCGGAGAAAACTGCAAGTCTCTCACGAGCGCTTGATGAGGCGAAATGTCTTCGGTGCATTCCAACTCCCGCAACCTTTGGGAGATAACAGAAAGAACGCCACGTTTAGATGCAATGCGTCCTATCGAAGGGGTGCGAGAAGCAGGGTTTTGATGTAGCATCCAATCGAGAGATTGAGCACCAAATGTTCTCGGATATGACTGCATCGATATAACAGTCCGAACAGCTTTCTTGAAGCGTTCCCGAGCACGAGATCGTCTAGCTTCGTCTTGTTCGTCCGGCGTTGCTTCCGAGACAATTGATACTACATCTTCCTGAGTCGAGGGAGATACTGTAGAAACGCCACATAAAGTCGGGGCTGTGCACTGGACATTTTCATCATCTGTCGTTCTTTCAAGTGATTTGGCGGGAGAGAGTCGCCGACCATACGAACGGAAACTTGAGTAAAGACGGTGAGCGATCGATTGTATCGGCGCAGTGAGATGTTTGATTGTATCCAACATAAGGTCCTCTAGCCATATGTGACCTCGATGGTGGATAAACACGAATCGTTCTGAGATGATCCAGCACAAGGAGGAAGCCAGTCCGATGCACGTAATGCTCTGTCACGATTAGATAAGAGGTCGTCGTGCGTCAGGATAAGTGATGAACGTACTGCGAATATAGTGATCAGGATGGGCGTGACCATATTCTACGGGCGAACAAATAGTGAGCTACTTTGTCATCAAAAGCAAGGATTCTTACGGACGTCACTTATCGTATATGTGACCAACATGAGTCCCACAAAAAAACACGTGATTGCATTCACAAGTAACACGAGAGGTGATCGCCTGATCCACGTCAACACCCACCAGGGTACTCTGTGATTTGGCGAGCGGCTTAATTTATCGAGTCATTAAAACTCAGGGGGGCGAAAATGATATGATGCGCTTACTGTATGGCCTGCGTCCACGCCAAACCAAGTAAACTGGTCGCTATGGCTGCAACGCTAGAAACTAGCGACGAAAACCAAAATGCGTTTACAGTTTTTGCCAGCCCAGTGTCGGTTCTACTGTATGAAAGTTGCAAAAGTGTTGCGGTGACAACCGAAAATATGGTACCGAACATTGCCAGATTAGAAAGATTGGCGGTCGCATATTGTTGTGAAAGCTGAATAGTTGGGACACCTGCATCCGTCGTGTCAGTCGCCAGTACACGCCTGTTTTTTAAAACCGTAATTACCGACATCTATGAACATCGACAAATTCGATGCTACAACGTCAATATGATTTCCGATTTCCGCGGTAAGTCCGTGGACGTATTGTTGCACAGAAGCAAGCCGAAAATGACCTGTGTGAAGGATTCAGCCCAGTACCGTTGGACGTTGCGTATTTTCGTACCTTTATACTCCGTCAAACAGGAAGCCCGATACTGAATTTTGTTAACCCAATGTCATAGCAAACAAAAGAGCCCTTACTTCTAGTTCTGCGACGAAGGCGTGGATTGAAGTATTCACCGCATCATCCCTGAACTCTGGAAAGTCGTTCAGACTATGCAATAACATCCGGAGATCTTGTGCAAAGCCTTCGAACTCCTGGGGGATCGCTTCAGTTGCGATCCCGTCCTCTGCCGTGAACGTCTGAAATTTGAGATGTTCGTGGTGGATCTTGCCCCGTCGATCCATGATATTTGGATTCACGAGCGTGTCTCTGGACTGGCGTGCGATCCTCCGAGGAAATAGATTGGCCGTGTTGTCGCGGAAGATGAACAACAGTCGGACGAGCCGTTCACGAAGTCTGGATGCAGCCAGTAGCAATGCAGCCGAGCTGCCCAATTGACGGGCGCCGTTATCAAAATTGCGTAGCTGGGCTGACGGGTAAGTATAACGATATTCGGCATAAAATTGCTGACCTCTTTATCCAATCGTTCAACGCGCCTTTCGGCGCGCGAAGGGGTCAACCACGGTCAGTCATCAAAGCAAACGATCAAATGGACCACTCACTTCTCAAAATCCTTGAACGCCTCGATACCTTCCAAAATGAGCTTTTCTTCCGGGCTAGCCGGATCTTGAAAATAGTCAACGGAGAAAGTCCTCAAAATAGATTTTCTCACATTGTTTCTCGCTGTTCATGCTCTGTTGTGGTTTCCCCTCAGCTGCCGCAGAGTCTCGAGCGACAAGCTCTTTCAGCACTCCAAGAAATTCATGTAGCGTTTCTTTGCGCTTCGAGTCCATCGTGAGTTCAGGATCTATTGCGCGACAGTAAGCAAGAAAACGCGATCTATGGATTTTAAATGTACCAGGAGGCATGATGAATCCGGAAGGATCCTTGGATTGATGTCTTTCGGTGAAGAACGAAATATTATACTTTGAGTACGTGGTCTTTATAACATAGATACCTTTAAGGTCCGCATAACCTGAAATGGAATACGGGAATAGATGCCACGCAGCCATGAGGTTGATTAAGATGCCGCAACGTGAAGGTCATCCCACAGCGGATGTCCGTCACGTCGGGAAAGCAGAGTTATAGAACGTTTCGCCGAAGGTCCACGACCAGATGCAGCACCGCGGAAGGACCAAAGGAACTGCCGTAAGGGGCCGGATAACACAGCCAAGCGTGGAGGCAGTGGTGTTAATGTTTTCAAAGGACAACGGAAGCTATCTTCCCCAATTCTAGCCATTGGATCCACAACTGGCAGATGCCATGAGGTGTGCCGTATACTTCTTGCAAAAATTAACTGTGAAGTAACATCAGGGACAATACGGCCGACGGCGGAGCATCATGGTATATGATAAGGACTTAGGAGGGCCGGGGTGTTGTAGAAAACGATCTATCGGCACTCCGCTTTATCGCCCGATTAAACTCAACATTTCCTAGTCCGAGACCTTGGTCGACGACTTCAGTCTTTTGCAAGATATGTAAAGCGAGGCGCTCGTACCTCAGGATATGATCCACCGAAGAGATATGGCTGCGGCACTGTCCTCTCAGTCATCAATAGCAACCGGGATATACCTCTCCTCGTTGATATGAAATTCCAATGAGGCGTTGATTTATGAAATCGCAATCAGAGGTAGCCATTTTTCATCTTCTTGCCCAGATAAGCGTCGTCCCTCTGAAGCGTAAACCTTTCAATGCAGTCATGTTAATCAGGCCACAACCATCATCTACGGCCCTGGAGAACTGGGCTCCCTAATAACCGCTCTGTATTATCTCGTTGCGTAAACGTTGCCTCTTCGCTGAGATAGAGTCATCAGTACTATGTAACTGCGACCTGTCACGACACCGAGAAGCACGTATGACAACATACTGAGCACAGCAATATATTGTCTGTATATGACATTTGATACGACCCAGGCCTACAGCGACCGGTGATTACTTGCACCACAGTGACTGTATGCCTGGAGTTCATCGTGCAACGAAGGCTTCTGCTGTTCTACGCTGACAAACATGTCTTCTGATAGCGCGCCACGGTGATTTGTGCACGAGGTATCCTCGCTTTGGCAGATAGAAGTCGTTAGAAGAAGTAAAACCTTCTATCAGTGTGACCAGACAGATAAGGAGCATTAAAACATTGACGCCTGAGCCTTGCGTTACAAAGTTACTGGATAAACACAAGGCTGCCGCAAGCTTCACTTGTGAGTGGGGACTTGAGAAATTGCCGCACCTAATGTGTTAGTGTGGGAATTTCTGTATAGTACGCCCTGAGTTGCCGTCTGCAGGCTGCCACTGGCAAAAGCAGTCTAAGGCCTTCTAAGGCTTATCTGAGCATGAGGGAAAGACGACAGAAAACGACTTCTTTACTTGAGGCAAGAGTGCTAATTTTTGCGCGCGTCTAGCACAACGTGGGGGGTACTGCCTGGTACTGCTCATTTTGTGCTCATTATATAAATATATATATAGGGCGTCAGTTTCGTCGCTATCGGCGCTCTCTCGTCTACGGCGACAAGCGTACCATTTACGATTGAGCGGGAAATTCGCCCGGATTTAAATCGTCTCCGTTGGGGCCGAGGAAACGAAGGAAACTTCCTAGATGTGGGCCCAGCATCTCTGCTAAACCAGCACCCAATCTTACCGAGACCTATACGCATATTATTATTTGAATTGTTCAGACCTAACCTGAGTGCTTCCGGACCTATAAAAACACTTTACCTGCGACTTCGACATCTTTACCGTTCACTTCATCCTGAGATCTACAGAAAAAAAATAGGGTTTCGATTTTGCAAATTGAATGATTGAAAACTAGAATCGCTGAGTTTCGCGAAGCACATGCATGATCTCATATGAAGTCCATTCTTTTTAGCATAGGAGGCGGAAAGGCACGTCGTACAAGCATCTCACCGCAGCATTAACCACACAGCTTCGATGTTACTTCCCCCGGCAAATAGCGATCAGATCTGTCCTGGCCGATCCCAATCCTCGCCTCAAATGTTCGGTGAGCTGAGCCTGTTCCTCACGGCGATCGCGCACTTGGTCGTCCAGACGAGAGTAAAGAGTGACATTAGCTCTGTATAATGATCAGGAGGCATGATCATGATCAGTGACTCCACCGCAAGACAGGGACATGATATATTTGAAAAGGCACGCACGTGAGGCTTTCCTTGACGCAGTCAATGATATCTTTGAACTGGTTGACGATTTCTATACGACTGCGGTTAGCACCCGTTTGAACAACAAATCAGATGTTGTGTGAACGAGAATTTAACGGAGATTTGATGGGTAGAAAGGGGCAGAAAGGGGCAGAAGCAAGACAAAGCCAGGGGACAAGGAAGCAACCGCACACCTTCAGAGCCATGAAGCCATTCTTCCCTCGAGCAGGTAGACCACTTCTGAACGAGGCCCATGAAAGTATCCACATTCAGGAACGAATCTATGTTTGCGAACATGACTTCAAGGGAAATCTCCTCCGCGGGGCCCGCGCCAGGTTGGTTCGTGGGAGGGGAAGATTGACGAGCCGTATCGTTATCAAGAGGTTGTTGTCGATTATGAGTATGGTCGACACAGGAGTGGCTACTGTCATCAGGACGGCCATCTGGCAATTCGTGGGGGAACTCGTCGATCCTGACCCGTTTGACTCTATGCATATATTCGACCTCATCAGGGGGCGAGAAATCGGCCTCGTCCTCCTGAGAGCCTTGGATGGTGCGCTTCACCCTGCGTAACATGGGATGAACGGCTACGTTCGTCCTGTGGGCATCAAATAGTGCTTCATCCTCTGTTGCTGCCTCTGGCTCGACGTCTTCATGGATTCTCTCGAGGAGTTGCAAAGACTGCGATTTGGCTTGAGAAGATTTGTTGGAGCTAAATGTGTGTTCGTCATCGCATTCGCCGTCGTGAATAGACCCGTAGCTCGGGACAGGCGCTGCGACGATGCGAGAAGTAGAGATTAACCCCGAAACAACACTTGCAGTGGATATATGCGCGTCTTTGAGACCAGAAATAGTCAAATCTCCTCTGTGGGATGCAGATTTTGGCATGGGGGACGTGGGCCGAGCAAAGGATATGCCTTGATTGGATGGTGGAACGAAAGGCGATCCTTTGCCACGGAACGGAGAGCTAGACCTGCGAGGAGGAGCTAAGGCTTGCATGTCAGGGCGGTTAATGCCGCTAAAACGCCCCGATGCGCTAGAGAACGACGCGTCCATGGCCGCTTGATGGTCCCCTGGGCCGGAGCCAAGTTTGCCAGCGAGTTTGTGCTTTTGGAACATCCCTGAAAAGCGAGTCCTTTTCTCTGATTCTGTCTTCTGTTGCGTTGGTTCAAGCTCATTCTGGATGCCGCCAGTGCGTTGGGGGTGGCCTAGGGAATTCTGTGCACGGAGCGGCATATGATCAAACGGGTGTTCAGCAGCTGCATGGGTAGAAGCACGAGATGCTGAACGAGGAACAAACGACTGGCGGGCGCTCATGACTATTGTTGTTTAGAAAACAATCTTGACGCTGAAAATCAAATGATCAAGAGTGAGTTGTGATGTTATCTAATCAAGTGATTATCTGAGGTTTTGGGTTGTTTGGATCGAAAGCTTTTGCCAAACAAACCGCACTTACCCACAAACATGCCGAGGGAAGACATCAACGTAAGTTATAACCGATGCCCGTCAACGCGCACCTCACTACTATGCATTTAATTCGCCGGGTGGAATGTTTGGCACTATCAAAGTCAAGTGAACTTCGAGGGACCAGTTGCCTGTTATTCATACACGGACTCGGGGTCGACTATGATCGATCGTTAACGATATTAATACTTACAACCACGCTGAAACGACATGGCGCTTTCCCGCCAATCAGTCACAGAAGCACTTGGTTTCGTGGCGACCGCGATGACACCGAGAGGGATAGCTATGATTGCACTGCTATGTGATTTCTAGAAGGGTCATTATTGGAATTACGGTGGTTGTCAGCCTCGACCATGGTCAATATAACATACGCATGTGTATATGTTTCCCATCACACGAGGCGTGCTTAAATTCAAAGAGAATAAACAACCTCCACTTTCAGCCCTACTACCCCTCCTCCCCGTCCATCCCACCCCGGTATTTCAGCACGGCAAACGGGACATCTGAGTATAATCAGTCAATTTATTAATTAAAATGGCAGAAAAAGCGTCGAGGAAATAAATTGACCTTGGAACAGGGGCTCTATCCATAGCAATCACCATGTTCCGCTTCACTGTGGATTTGACAGCAGCAAAAAGGCATGCTCCACAGCAAATGTGACCGCAGGGTGTCAGAGTTGCGTTAGTGGGAGGTGAGAAGCAAATCGGACAAGTATAAGCGGATAGTGGCTCCGGCGCAGACGATGAGGAATTTGTGGCGTTCAGGGGGGATACATGAGGGTTCTGACTCGTAGCTGCTTCAGGTGTGAATGCGCCCATCACCTCAACGGGAATTGGATCATCGATGACGATAGGGCGCAGTGAAGGCAGAGTTCGACGCGGAGACAAGGTAGGGCTAATGACGACTACGTCGTCTGAGAGAACATCAGTGATTTCGGAGACTGATAGAGAAGTTCCCCTTTGCTCCACGATGTAAATTTCAATTTCTGCATCTGTGGCATCTGGATGAGCCTGCGATGCTACTGACTCTTGCGTGGGCGGTGGTTGGTCCGAGTCAGCCAGCTCTAATTCCTCGTCCAGGGATGGGATTGAGCCTAGCATGAGATTGGGAGCCATGTTCCAACTCGACAGCAGTGAGGTTGAGGCGACTTGTGACGAGGTGCCTGCCTCTGAGAAATCATCTGAGACATTGTTCTCTGGTGGGTTGGAGGGAAGACGTGCTTCATGGAACTGATCTACATCGGTCTGCTCTTCGTCACTGGTATCAATTCTGGGCCTCTTTCTCCGGTGGTGCGAGAGGTCTCCTTCTGCATGATCTGGTAGCAATGACGTATCTTCGCTTGGTCCGCCACTCTGTGAGCGAGAAGGCCGCGAGCTACTCCTGGAGCTAGTAGCAGAGCGCGGAACACGGTTTCTACTAGTAGATGGCGCCGGTAACAGCGCAGATAATGCAGAGGACGTTGTCGGATCTATTGTGTCAGAGTTTTTGCGTTTTGCCGCCATGGTCGATGATGAAGTCGATGACCATCAGTAAGACGTAATATTATGACTAGAAGTACTCGGGGTCCTTATGACACGTCCGTTATTCCAACTTGGTGCTGGCACTTGTTTACTACTACAACTACTTCCTTGCTCACCGACTGAGCTCACCATCATCGATGTCGGGGGAGAACCAGCCCTCCATACTAGACCAGCTCGATGCCGCCGTTCCCCTCGCACGTTTCGACGCATTCCCGAAACTTCCTTCAACCTACAAAGCCCGCTCAGAATCCCGCGGTTTCTTCACTCTTTTTGTCGCTCTCATCGCAATCCTACTTGTATTAAATGATATTGGAGAGTATATCTGGGGATGGCCAGATTATGAATTCAGCATAGACTCACAGGGTCAGTCCCATTTGAATGTGAACGTCGATATGGCAGTCAATATGCCTTGTCAGTGTAAGTTCCTCCAATTCATTTATCACAGAACTACTACCTCTAAACCAAAGACTCCTCGTAGATCTTAGCGTGGATTTGCGTGATGTAGTCGGTGACCGCTTGTTCCTTAGCAATGCGTTCCGCCGGGATGGTGTACGTTCGCCCTTCTTCCGCGACTTGAGTATGGATTTAATTCGCATTAACAGACTCGTTTCGATATTGGTCAAGCGACAACTCTCAAGTAAGTAATCATTTTTCAAGCGTTTTCACCGCTTACCGTTCAATTATGACTCAGGGAACATGCCCAGGCTCTTTCTGCTCGCCAGGCAATCTCGCAATCCAGAAATTCACGCGGATTCTTCTCTTGGTTCCGCCGCGCTGAACCCGAGTTTCGCCCTACGTACAACCACGAGACAGATGGAAGCGCCTGTCGAATTTATGGCTCCCTGCAGGTCAAGAAAGTGACTGGTATGTTGACGTCCCGTCGTCAGCTCCTCTTACTGATATATCACCAGCAAATTTACATGTTACAATGCTCGGACATGGCTATAATAGTCACATACATGTGGACCACAATAGTGAGTAGTCACAACCATGTTCAATGAATGCTGATTCTACAATATTTTCAAGAGATGAATTTGTCCCATGTGATCAGCGAGTTTTCGTTTGGTCCATACTTCCCGGATATCTCTCAACCCCTCGACTACTCATTCGAGATCGCAAAAGAACGTATGTCTCTTTCCTGCTCTGTTCGTAATCAAACTAATCTATAAACAGCGTTCATGGTGTACCAATACTTCTTGCATGTGGTTCCGACTACATACATTGCCCCTCGAAGTCGACCTCTCGAGACCAACCAATACAGTGTCACTCACTACACCCGTAAGCTGGAACACAACGAAGGAGTCCCCGGTATTTTCTTTAAGTTCGACCTCGACCCCATGGTTATCACCATTCACCAGCGCACGACCACATTGGTACAATTTATAATACGGTAGGGAGATCCGCTTGGTTCAACACTCAGAATTTGACATATCTCCATTAGTTGCGTGGGTGTTATCGGAGGCGTTTTCACGTGCGCACAGTATTTCGTTCGTGTCGCCATTCGTGCAGCGGACGCCGTCTCAGGGGCAGATACCACTCCGGGAATCGTAGCCGCTGAAGCTACCGGTGTGAAGCGAAAATGGGCAGGCGGACAGCTGCGCGTACGTTCCACTGCACAAAATTCAGCGAATGTCGTCAGACAAGGACCAGGCTGGGTCGTTGAGGGCTCCTCTTCGCCCTACGCATCCTACGCAAATACGCCTGTCTCAGGCGGGTTCACCGCCCAAAGCCCATATCCTTATTCACCATTTCTGTCTCCACCTACCTTGACTAGTAGTACGAGCGTCCCACCGACTCCAGGAACAGGCGTCGGACTTGGCTTTGGCGGGGCAGCGTTTGGCCCGCCGCCGAGCGGGAGGGGGCATAAGAAGGGGAAGTCAGTTAGCATTTCGCGAAGTGTTAGTGGAGGGCTCAGTTCGCCCTTCGCGGCTTCGTCGTCGTCGCTTACATCCCCGGCTGTGGGGCCACCGCCCTCGGCTAAGAAGGATGATTGACACTACGGGATATTTAGTTTCGGTACTATGTATCACTTTGGTCACCCATAGAGTTGGTTGCCAATATCAGCTCATAGCCAGTATCTTGGAGACGCATAAGACCAGAGATTTCCGTGACAACAGGTTGAAGCTGAGAGTCAGGTTACATACTTGCCCACGACCGCATCGATGACTTGAATAAACAACTTACAACTTAAAGCTTGAAGTCAGACATTTACATCTAAGATCCGATATGGCACCCCAGCATAATGCCGTACTGCCAACCGCGCTCAAAACACCTGCTATCCAGAAACTCGTCAACAAGCGCATCATTCTCGCTTCTGGAAGTCCAAGGAGAAAGGAGATACTTCAAACGCTGGTACGGATCCAGTATTCATTCGAGCTGGTTTCTAGATAACATATAGACAGGGCTTAGCGCCCGAGGTTGTCCCATCCACCTTTGCTGAGAACCTTCCGCTCTCTTCTTTCGAGGATATTCATGAATATCCCGTTTCTACCGCAATTCAGAAAGCAGTGGAGGTGTATCAAAGAGTACTGGTACGTTCGTTGCTTTCAATCCTACACACATTTCCACAACCTGCACAAGACAGATGCACCAGACGATCCACCTGATCTTGTCATCGGTGGTATGTACCCTCTGGAAAAGTTGCCATTTTAATCGAAGCTAATATTCTTTCAGCGGATACTGTCGTCTTCACTCATGCCCTGCCATCGACGACGATTGAGATGGAGACGGGTGTGCGGCAAGAGCTTCTCGAGAAACCATCCTCGAAAGAGGATAATATGCGCATGCTGAAGGACTTGAACGGGGGCGTTTGCGAGGTCGTAACGGGCGTTTCACTTGGTGCGAAGATTATCATTTCTAGTACTTATTCTTCTGCTATTCTAATATCTGTTTCAGTGTATCCAATCCTGAGCGCTCCTGGATATGAGATCAAGTGCGGTATTCAGTCTTTGAGAGTGCCCATCTGACCGAAATGGTGCCATGTCCTGCAGGTCTATAGATGAGCGGACATTGGTGTATTTCGGTGACAATGAGGACCATGTACTCAAGGCGTATGTGGACAGCGAGGAAGGCTTAGATCGGGCAGGAGGTTTTGCAGTCCAAGTTGGTTTCTTTCCGAATTTGTGTATGGCGTGATATTCATGCAGACGACAGGGTCGTGGCAACTTGCTCATTCGCAAGATTGACGGCGACTTTCACAACGTCGTGGGTTTCCCTGGGGCATCATTTTTCAAGCTCCTAGACCTCCTCGTTGAGGAAGAAGAGGATTTCCTCGCGATTTAGATTTCTTGTAAATGGGCAGGATGAAGTGCTTCGAGACTGTATGATCGGACAATGATAGACAGGTGGATTTTCTGTCTTGATTGCAAGTGTATTCATCTTGTGTTCATCCATCCTCCGTTTCGCTGCATGCATCCCTTGCTAGTTGTTGACGACCATGGGCCGGTGATCTAATGGATCCTATGGTTTCTTGATTTTTATCTTACAATGCATTGCTGCGGCTTGCAGTAGGTCAGTGCACTGTAGTTGGCCACGATGAAAACAATGGCACGCCGGCGCAAGGTTGGGATAGTTAATGTTGCTTTGCGATCTCATATTGCTTTTCTTGTTTTCTGCTTACATTCGTTCCTGATGAGTGAAGCTGTAGGCGCGTTAGGTGGCGTCTATTTGACCGTCAACAACGGTTCTCTACATCGACCTGCCGTATTACCGGTCGTAGAAGCCTCCCGTTAAATACCCGCTGCCCTTGCCCCCCCCAAAAAAAGTGTACGCGCCAACACCGGACCGCGTTTGATTGGTCGGAGGCTCTTCGCTTTCTTCGTCTTGACTGAATGATTGTCAGCATCGTTTATAGCATCGAACATGAAGCAGGGGACATACATTAGTGGAACAACCTTGCGGAGTTTAACAACTCTCTAATGATCACCACGCAATTTTTGTTCACTTTCACTTTGTGCTCCTGTTTTCAGGTGGCATTCAGGACAAGAATCGTGGAACACATCTTAGCTAGCTTTTCAGCTCTGCATGGGAGGGCCCCCAAAGTGTGGCTTCATACGTGGTGGGATTGGGTTGTGGTGAGAGTGAGAAGCATGAGGGAGGGGTGCTTCATTCATTTTACGTGGTGTAGTTAGTCTTTAACGCACTGGTAGACACTGTGATGAAGAATTTGGCACTGGATATTGCAAGTTGGGGATCAGGCTCCTACCCACCGCTGCTGAGAGGTTCAAGACGGACTACTACAAGAGGTGTGCGAAACTGGAGTTCAGCACACTACGTACCACAATTCTCCAAGGTGAAGAACCGGATCCTCTGATTGGTTGTTGTTTTCGTTTGAAGGGGCCGGTTGGCATGGCTGCCAGCGGTGAGAGTACAATTAGTTCTCGTAAGAGGGAAATAAAACCGTCGCGCTTCGATTTGTTGATGCGATGATGGAAAATGTCATGTGAACTTCCACAAGTGACCCTTGAATGTTGGTTCATACTTACAAGATCCTCCAAATGGCCTTGAAGAAACGGAACTCAATTGTTAATATGCCTAGCATATGACACATTCCAAAACCGGCCTCTAACGCTGTTAGAGCATTTTGCTGCGACTACGAAGCCAAGGTGGAAAGCGAGATGAAAGCACTACTGAATAGAGTGGAGTTAGCAATCAGGATGCATGTCATGATGACATTCAACGTGGAAACTAACCTAGACATTGCCAATGATTCTCGAGGCGAAATAACGAAAATCGTTCTCGATGAACGCGGAAAAACCGAGTTCTCGCCGACAGCTGCAATCGTGGAACTGACATATCCACCAGCATATGTTCTTATTAAGCTGAACCGTACGAAAGAGAAGAATATATTACCGTTAGTTCCAATGGAGCACACATTTACCATCATCCACGGGATAGCAGCTGCCTCTCACACCAGCATACTCGTTCACGGACTATCAGTCACCTGTAGGTCAGACTATCAATAATGCCATTATAGACATTGCAACACCACCTACCGCGGGGCTTACTTCATTCAATGTCTACGTCGCACTATCGCAAGCTCGTGGCCAATTGGACGGATTTCGGTTGTTGACGAGAACTTGCTGATGTGACACCATCCGTCAGAACATTTGAGAATTCATTAGAAGACATTACAATACCAGTTGTGCGAGTTAGTTACCGTTCTGGTGGGTTGCTTAGTAGGGTTAAATGGGGCAACTTTTAAGCTAGAATTCTCCAAGCACCATAAATATTACCTTTCGATGCTGCTCCAATGGCTAGGGAGAAGTCCTGGACATGGGAATATTTTCATCAGGGGCCGACAAAGGTCGATAAAGCGCACTGATAGGCACGCCGTAAATACTGTGTCAAGATAAAGGATCTTTGGTTAATGCTGATCAGTACTAGGCCGTTACGCGCGGATTATTGCAGGCATGGCGGCTATACATGTCAGAAGTTCAGAACTCGCACAATTTTGACCGAGTTTATATCGTGCAGGTTTGTATTGGTCACGTGACGTGCTTCTTCAACCACGGTCATTCAAGCAAGTTGGTAACTTGATCTGAACCTCCGAAGTGACTTATAGACTACCGCCGCCGCGGCGGCCTGCAAACATTTATCAGTAGAGCAACCCTGCCACGTTATTACTCCATCTCCCGTTGAATCGCGTTGTACGATTGGAGCTTGCGTGGGAGCTACCTCTGTTGTTCCGAGGACGAGCATCAGCACACAAAGTATTGTCACTGGCAGTATCTCTGTTCCTGGTTACATGCAGTTACCTGCTCGACGTAGCAAACCCTTCTGTCACGACTCACGAAAGCTCTCGACGTCCTCAACTGTGCCCGAAATCAACTCCAAGGGGTGTGACTTGAGTGGCCGCGATGTGGCCACTGTTTGACGAGCCACTACAGACAGTTGTCTATCGTGCCAGTTGGAGGAAGATCGCAGATTCGAAGATCGGACTGATTCCATCAATTAACTTGCCAGCGAGAAGTCTCGCTTCTTTTACGAAGACTAAAGTAATCAATGGTATGTTTCACTAGCTCTTTTCATGTGTTCTGGCTCCGAGAGTCCGAGTGTATAAGTAATTCAGAGAAAATCGGTAAGTACTCAACGTTTCAAACACCCTTTCCAACATTCTTCGTATTACTGCTTCAGAATCTAACCTGAGACACGGTTTACAATGGCACTTGTCGAAGTCTCCCCTACTACCACTACCGACTTCGTTACTGCACCCAATACTCTCCACGACGTAATCGCTCAAGCTGTTGACCGGTATCCGTTGCACGAGCTTGGTTTCATAACCTCCTCGGCACATGACTCCTCTATTCACACGATGACCTTCAGCGCGTTCAACCAATATGTTCGCAACCTTGCACGTGCCATGCTCGACTGGGGCAAACCCACAGGCTCAATTATTGTCGTATATTTGACAGAGCACGAAGATAACATGGCTGCTGTCTGGGCGTGTCTGTTGGCTGGTTATTTGCCCTGCTTGCAGCCCACACTTAGCGCACAACAGGCGCACAAGGAGGGTCATGTCGCCCATATCAAGGACTTGTTTGGATCTGCAACTTGGCTGACCAGCAAGCTTGGGGCTGAGCAGATCAGCTCCATTCCTGGTCTGGAGGTTCACCTGCTCTCCGAATTAAAATCATCGGGGCAGAAAATCACCGTTGCAGCTGACTGGGTTGCATATGAGGCTAAACCAGACGACGATGCCATCCTGTTCCTGACCTCGGGCTCAACTGGGTTCTCGAAGGCGGTCGTCCACACGCACCGTACCCTCCTTTCTGCATGCCGCTCCCAGGGGCAACACTACGACCTGACCTCCGAATCTCGAGTTCTTAACTGTAAGGCGGACATCACTTAAACTTTCTTCTGACATTGATCATGACATTCAGGGGTCGGATTTGATCATGTCGCGGGATTGTTGGAATACCACATGACACCTCTGCTATATGGTGCTTCGCAACTCCATGTGCATGCATCTGTTGTTCTTACCGATCCCCTTCGGTTGCTCCGTCTGATCGACGAAAAGGTATGCTGACACTAAACCACATCTTAACGTGTCTCTTATCATTCTATCTAAGTCAATCGAATTGACTTACGCTCCGAACTTCCTGCTCGCCAAGCTCACTCGTGATCTGGGGAAGCGCGCCGACCACTTCGGGTGCTTTGACCTGTCCTCTTTCAAGCGGATTGACAGCGGAGGTGAAGCTAATGTTTCCAAGACCGCGCAAGCCTTTGTTGCTATGATGAAAAAGTTTAGCAAGAACCCCTCTGCGGTGTCCTTGGTCGTCGCCGCTGGGTTTGGAATGACAGAAACTTGGTAAGGACACTTTAAGCATATTGAAAGCTCAGCTGATGGGCCTTTGCAGCGCCGGATGCATTTACAACTACCCGGTGGATGTCCTCGCAACCGAGCCTGTTCGCGAGTTCCTTGATCTCGGGCGTCCCCTCGATGGTTGCGAGATGCGTATCACGGATCCCGCCGATGGTGTCACCCTGCGCCCCGATGGGGAGAGCGGCGAGCTTCAGATTCGTGGGCCGATGGTATTCGTACGCTACTACAACAACACCGAGGCTACATCCTCTAGCTTTGTCGAGGGCGGCTGGTTTCGCACTGGCGATGTTGGCATCATCGAGAATGGTGTCATGCGCCTTAGCGGTCGCATCAAGGACACCATCATCGTCCATGGCGTCTCATATGGTATACCTGAGCTCGAAACCCACCTCCAAATCGTTGAAGGAGTCACACACTCTTTCCTCGCTGCAGTTCGCTACCGCACTCCGGGGCAAGAGACAGAAGGGTTCATTGTTTTCTACTCGCCAACTTTCGACCTCGATGGTGCAGATGCCTCTACCAAGCTCTTCGCCACGCACCAGGCCCTGCGGGATATCTGTGTGAAGATGATCACGCTGCCACCTCAGATCATTGTTCCAATCCCTGTGAATCAAATGGAGAAGAGCACTCTCGGAAAATTGTCTCGTGCGCGCCTCATGAACATGTTCAAGCAAGGCCAACTTGCAAAGCACATCGCCCATTCTGAGGAGCTGCTCAGCAAGGCACGCGGCGTTTCCTTCGTTGCCCCGTCCACCGAAACGGAAAAGGTGTTTGCCAAGATATATGCTGGCATCTTTAACATCCCCGAAAGTGAGGTGTCGGCGAGCGACAACTTCTTCGAGATCGGCGGTACTTCTATTGATGCTATCCGGTGAATATACCTGTTTCCACCTTCAAACGACCTTCACTGACATAATCTCCAGACTCAAGCGCGAAGGAGAGGAGCACTTTGGTCTGCCTGACATTCCTGCCATCAAAATCCTGAAGCACCCTGTTCTCTCAAGCCTGGCCAACTACGTCGACTCCTTGTTCTCCGGGGGTGCCCAGCCTGAGGAGTACGACCCTATCGTTCCCCTTTCAGTGACCGGAAATAAGACGCCAATCTTCTTTGTTCACCCCGGTATCGGAGAGGTCCTCATTTTCGTCAATCTTGCAAATTATTTCCAGAATGAGCGTCCCTTCTACGCTTTCCGTGCTCCTGGCTTCGATACCGGCCACCCCCTCTTCACCTCCATGGACGAGATGGTTTCCTGCTATGCGGCAGCAGCCAAGAGGGTTCAGGCGAAGGGACCCTACGCCATCGCGGGCTACAGTTACGGTGGTGTTGTCGCGTTTGAAGTTGCCAAACGGCTCGAGTCCATGGGTGAAGAAGTGAAGTTTTTCGCTCCCATCAACATTCCTCCTAATATTGCCGGCCGCATGCGTGAGATCGATTGGACATCTTGCCTGCTCCACTTAGCAGCCTTCCTCGGTTTCGTGTCGACACATGATGCTAATGATCTACCTCCTTCCCTGAGACCGCTCCCAAGGCAGGAGCAGCGTGATATCGTGTGGAAGAATGCGCCTCCTGAACGTATCATCGAGCTCCAGCTGACGCTCGAGAAGTTTGACATATGGGTGGACGTCGCCGAGTCTCTCATCAATTGTGGACTAGACTACAACCCATCAGGCTCAGTTTGTAAGTCGTTCGTTTTCTCACCTTAGAACCACTTGCTCACATACCCACTCCTCAGCCGCAATTGATGTTTTCTACGCCACTCCCTTTGCTGGATCCAAGATTGACTGGCTCAACGACCAGCTCCGTCCATGGTCTGACTTTAGCCGCGGCGAGGCAACATATACTGATGTTCCCGGGGAACACCACACGCTCATGGACTTGGAGCACGTCCCGCAGTTTCAGAAGATGTTCCGCAGTCGTCTCGAGGCTCGTGGGCTGTAGACGTTTGGAGGGGCATATTTTGTCTTGCGTCCATGATCTATTCAACTATAGTAGGAGTGCATGTGTTTTATAATCTTCTCAATTTGTTTGTCACCGTGTACTAGTATACACTTAGCATCCCGAACTCCTGGTGAAAATGTCGATCGGACGAAATGTCCAGCCTTGTATACGGCTGCGGGAGAGCAGTTCGTCAGTGAAACTTGCCGCAATGTGGCCAAGGGTCATCGATGAAATCCACATGCTAGTTGAATGATCTATACACGGAAGCGGAAGCTTAGTAGGCAGGTCCGTCATGAGTCAGGAGGGATTTCTACCAGAGGGATTGATCCTGGCGAAGACTAGGAAGTAATCGCTCAGCTTTGCAATCGCAATGAGAGACTTGTGTTTCAAATTTGGTGGATTGATAGAGGCACGAAGGAACGCAAAAGGAACTGTTATAGATCTTCCTTCGATATTATAAGTCTGACTAGGGGAGACTAGTATTGCCAATGATTTGGGTTCTTGCATCCAGGGTATAGTGTCAATATGATACATCATATTACTGAGATAATGATATATCACTTGTGCCTATGAGGAAGCACAAATGAATATACCACTCCGTATGGCGCACGCGCATCTCTGATGGAAACACCATGCCTTGTCCATGATTACGCGCTCTCATGAACATGATGAGTGTCCCGCAGTCAGCTCTTCAGCGAGTATTTCGCTCGGACAACCATGAACTCGGACTGGATGCGGTATAGAATAGAATACAAAGAATGATCTGCTGTACATGTCGTGTCACATTCAAGCTGTAACTGAAACTTTATCTCCGTGATGGATCAATTGCTAGAAAACGATCATATCGCAGACTAAGGTCTGCAAGTGTTGATTTCAGTAAGTGCGAGGAACGGAAAGAACTTTGAAGAGACTCACTCCTCTCGGCACTTTTGCCAGTGTCGACCATGTGCCATGCGGCTCAAGCACAAGACCTCCTCTGGGTATCACTAATGCAGTCCCAGGACTATAAAGTGGATGTTGAGAGGCGTGTGGTACCCAGAATAACAGCCGACGTTTGGGCCCTACCATACATACACTCCGACCATTCAGAAGAAAGGGGGTCGGACTGCGGTCATGGTATTCTGCCTCCAATAACTCAGAAGTATCACCCAGCGCATGGATGGAGTTGGGCGAGAAGCAAATGAAGTGATTGTTCGATGTGTTCGATGACATGGCAGCGGTAGCCTCGGTGATGCGATGTTCTTCTGAGAATGCTGAATGATCAGACTCTACAATTTGTTTCAATGGCTGCGTTGTCGCTGCATACCACAGCCCGAACAATCTTGTCCCTCCAGCCAGTGGCAACGCGAGTTCCATCCTGCGAGAAAGAGACTGATTGAACTGAAAGAATGTGCCCCCGCAAGGGCTCACCGACTAGCTGCACCGTCGCTGCATCCCACAGTCAATGCGAGTTCCATCCGGCGAGAACGAGACTGAGTGAACCCAACGAGTGTGACACCGCAAGGGTTCACCGACTGGCTGCCCCGTCGCCGCATCCCACAGCCGAACAGTCATATCCCTCGAGCCAGTCATGATGCGAGTTCCACCCGGCGGCGAGAACGAGACTGAATGAACTGAATAAGTGTGCCCCCACAAGGGCTCGCCGACTGGCTGCTCTGTCGCTGCATCCCACAGCCGAACAGTCTCCATCCCCCGAACCAGTGGCAACGCGAGTTCCATTCGGCGAGAAAGAGACTGATTGAACTGAAAGAGTGTGCCCCCGCAAGGGCTCACCGAGTGGCTGCCCTGTCGCTGCATCCCACAGCCGAACAGTCTCATCCGCCGAACCGGTGACAATGCGAGTTCCATCCGGCGAAAACGAAACTGGTTCAACTGGACCATTGTGGCCCCGCAAGGGCTTACCGACTGGCTGCCGCGTCGCTGCATCCCACAGCCGAACATGCATATCCTCCGAACCAGGGACGATGCGAGTTCCATCCAACGAGAACGAGAACGATTGAACTGAACCACTGTGCCCCCGCAAGGGCTCACCGACTGGCTGCCCTGTTGCTGCATCCCACAGCCGAACAGTAGTATCCAAAGAACCAGTGACGATGCGAGTTCCATCCGACGAGAACGAGACTGAGTTTACATCACTAGTGTGCCCCCTGAGCACGGTCTGAACAGCCGACCAGTTCATATCACGTCCGGATACTGCACGAAGAGTATTCGGAAACCATGCAGAAAGCTTTCTCGATAGCGGAGAGTTGACAAGTGAGAATGGGATTGCTGATGCATACAGATGTGGCATGCTGTGTAAAATCATGCCGCCAAAGACTTGAATAAACCTCTGTACGTCCATTGCAGTCGACGAGATATCTTCAAATTCGGAATGGCCCTGTGGTTATGCATAAGCACTTTATCTGGCACTCAATGGAAGTGTGCTCACCTTCAGCCACTGGCGGATGAGTGCAAGGGCAGGAACTGCACCGCTGAGCGCATGGATGAGGGCGAGTAACTCGAGCCCGAAAAATAGCCGCTCGTCGTCGAAGAACGATTTCACTTCTTTCACGAGCTCCTTGTCGAAAACTGTGGTTCGGACAGGTGAAGTCCAAAATCGAGATGAATAGGATAGATGTGGGAGAATATACGTTGCAACTCGTTCTTGCAGCCCAGGATCTTCGCAATTAGGAAGATACGAAGACTTTACATCACAGATATTGAAGCGAAGACCGTGTTCCATCACTCCAAGTGACGCGAATGCAAGGTCGTGTTGTGAATAGCAGTCGACGATTTGAATCAGTCTGCAGCGAAGAAAGATAAGGAATGGTCCAAGAATGGTTCCACATCATCTGCTATCATTTCTCTCGAGGCTTTATTTGCTGCAGTGTTGACTGCGACTCGAGCACTAAACGACTACATATAGTAAGCATTCAACCGCGTCGAGTCTCTGCGAGAAGCGCGTTGAATCAGATGCTGCCGCAGATCAACTTAGCTGTAATTGCAAAAGCCTGTACAATATTAATGGCCCACGATTGAGTGCAGGTAAGTCACAGTCTCCAACATCGACAAAGTAGTCTCTGACCTCAATGTCAAGTTAGAGTAAGACAGTTGAATGAACGTCCTGCCTGCAGTTGAGACCCGGGGTTCTCCGGTTCGCCGGTCATTTACAGAATTTACATTAGCTAATCGTGAATTTTTCCAGATATCCTGACTTACCTGACTTAACGTTCTGACCCATCTTCGGGCCGGGTATTCGCCGTTACCAAATTAAGGCACTGTCCTCGGGGACGAAATGATCAATTTCACCCGCGACGTGGAACAACACCTCGAAAGGGTATTTTCTCTTTCTCCTCTTCAAAGAAATCGCCTACTCATGCATAGAAGTCATCATCTGCCAGAGGCTCATCCATCGGCGACCTCAGGGGGGCGACGGCAAACCATCTGGATGACCTCAAGCGCGCGATTGATGGCGTAAATGACATAGAGTCCCTTAGAGTTCCTTATAAGATATCCACGGCTGGTTCCTGGTACCGGTGCAACAGAGCCGGAGTTGGGCAACTTGAGGGGCTGGCACAACATGCTAGCCTTGAAGGTTATACCCGGGTCCTCGCTGAGAACGCGCTGGAAGGAGGAACGGTGATATAGATGACTCCCAATGTTTGAAACATCTTGTTAACCCAATCGTGGATGATAGCGCCTGTCATCGCTATAGCTTTATTTACTGCAGGACTGAAAATGTTACTGGGGGTGGGCTGGGGTGGGAGAATTAACAGAATGGCGCAAGAGGGAAGGACCTTGTTGGGAATCAAACAACGGCTCCTGACGACGGCCCATTTTTGCGAAAATGGTCGCAAGGGCTTGGGTGCGCTTTTCGACAAGGGTAAATTCCGGGGGATTATCCAGGATATCCATGAGATGAGCTAGGGATGATAGGTTGGCCAATGCAGGCATTGTGTATAAGTATCCTCGTACTTGAAAAACAAATGATTCGGAAGGTAGGTACTTGGTGCAATTTAAGTTTTTACAGATGTATGTGGAAGCAGAGTGAATAGCCATGAAGGGTCGTAAAGATGTAGTGGTATGGAAGAAGATCATTGGGAGATGGGAGGTCCCGAAGCATAACAAGTCATGAGAGGCAAATGGAAGTCAAACAAGCAAATGGAGATAGATACAGCGATGAGCAATTATATGACCACAACTGCTGGATTCGCTAGTCAGAGCAGAGCAATGGTCACCATGTCAAGAATATCGAGGTGTCCGTGGAAGATCGACCGGGTAGGTATCAGCAGGGCTTAACGCCCCCGCATGCTTTTTCCTACTCTGCGCAAAACGGCTGCACAAAGAGCGATAGAAAACATGATCACGTAGGATAGCCGAAAGGCGGGTAAAATGCGCGGTAGCACGAAAAAGCTCGGCTCTCCGGAACGCGCAGCCTTCACTTCTGGACGAGGGCGTGCACCAAGATGAGAGTAGGGATAAAACCATCCCACTGTGCGAGCAATAATCGAGCGCACAAATGATTTCAAACCAAGATGGTAGTCAGAGAACATGATATCATCCGGAGCGGGGGCTGGATCACAAGATCGGTATATGAGCTGATGTTCATCGAGTGGCTGTCGAGCTTCTTCAGGGCGGAGGTAAGTGGCTTCCTGGGTCGCGACTTGTGCCTCGATGATTTCCAGACGTGCTCGGAATGCTTCAAGCTGCACTCGAGTAGACGCGATGGATGCTTCCAATACTGCAATGAGGGTATCATCATCGGAAGGTGCAGCAACTTGGTCAGGCACAAGAGTGATGCCTTCAGCTGACTCTACTGCAGTAACCTCGAGCTCTGCTGCATCAATGATGTCCACAACCTCCCCGGGATCTACGTTGGCCTGAGGTACGTCGTCCACAGGTATGCTGTATGATGTAGTGTCCATCTTCCTATCAGAAGATCCGGTAAATATCGCCGTCACGATTCGCTTCTGGGTATTAGCCCGACCGTTCCCAAGGTCAATTAACTTGCTGAGGTTGCATTCCACTGAAGACTCATTTGGGTCGGCATTAATTTCGACCGCCGTCGCCACCCTCAAAGATGTAGGTGCCAACGGCAAAGGGGCAGGCGTACTAGTGGGGATCCGCTTCACAGTCTCTCCCAACCCATAATCCTCTTCCCAGGCGCGTGCGCCTTTTATAGGACCAGAGGAAGTAAGGAGCTCCTCTATGGTCGGCTCGTCCTCAATTCCCCTGAGCGAGGTGTACGGAGGTGGCGGGTTGCTTAGACTGATCGTCGAATTTGGGAGTACAGGCGGAGGGGGTGACTCCACCGACGGACTGTCACTGTCACTATCAGCGTCACTGCCACTCACGGAGCCATCGCTCCCGCTGACAGCGCCGCTTTCGCGCTCCCAAGTGTCAACGAGACCCTTGACCTTTCCACGTCTCCTGATTCGCATATGTGCAAGGTCTTTGTATCTTTGCGCAGAGGAGTCTGAAACTGAGTTTGAGCGATTCATGGTCACGGCTGGGGATAGCGGAAGCTCTCCATCAACTCCTATGGAGGCAGATGGCGGGAGGATTAAATCCACTGACGAAGTGGAGAAATTGTAAAATTCGCTGTTGAAGGGCGAATTTGAGCTGCGTGTGGGGCGGGCATAAACACCCTTTGAGTGCGCGGGTATGTCTTTAGAATGGTGTGAGTCCACCCATATGCGACCGCGAAGGACATCTGCGCGCAAGGCGCGGGAAGCCTCAAGCAGATAAAGTCGCTGAGCAGTTGTTAGGGATAGGCTAGAAATACACGATGATCGTCAGATAATTATTTTCATTGAGAGAACAGTCGATAGAGTGAATATACGACTTACCTAGCGAGGTCAGCGTCAGTTAATCTCAAGAAATCCCTACCGGTAATGGTTTGTTCTTTTATCGCGCAAAGGAGGTGTCCCTGATCTTCAGCACTCAATTCGCTGCCTGCCCGGAGTGAAGTGGCGACATGTGAAGCGAGGTCCTCAGTAGACCAGTGCTTGGGGTTGCGAGGTAGCTTGTTGTCCTCCCCAACAGAGTTGTCATGAAGGACAGGAACAATTGCATTGGAGGGCAACGTGTCCGCACGTTTCAGCCTGTGATGAGGCGTTGCGTCATCACTGAGAGAGAACGATGGAGAGACGGAATTGAAGGAGGGAGGAATGGGCAACGGAGAAGGTCGAGTAATTTCATTGACGCTCACTCCTTCAACAGATGAAAAGGAAGTCGTGTGTCGATGCCTCGGACGAGTGGGCGATTGTGGAACATAATTATGTTTGACTGAGTGCGAGTGCGGCGACGAGTTCGACCGCGAAAGAACAGCGGAGGACGTCGTCTTGATTGCATACGGATGTGCATTTGGCAGGATTGTAGGGTGTTTCTTGCTCTGAAATGGCGTTGTCGATGAACTAGAGGTCGCAGCTGTCGTGCTTGTCATCGTGGACGACGATAACGAGGCGAACAAATCCTCTACAAACAAACGTGAGAGTCTTGGTAACTTGCACTAAAGCCCACCTCAGGGGCGTAGTACTCGATACCATTGCCATCCAGCTACTTAGTGACCAGCACGGGAGAGCCCCCCATAGGCAGATCAATGCGAAGGAAGACAGCCGTTCCTTTGTGACACTATATCAACGTCGTGGATGACAGTTTCGACACATCAAATTCGGACCATTGGTCCAGGAACCTGCCAATCAATTCCTCCTAAACCGTGACCGTGCGGGCAACGTGGTAGTCAATACAAACTTTTGGATGCGGACTCGGTAGCACAAGGCAAGTGGTCTCTGCCGTAGTAGTAATGCGGACAATCATGCGTTTTCAGACTGTTTGTTGACCAGTCTGTGTGCTAGGTTTGCTTTTCAATTTGATCTGGTTGTTGGTGAACGTATCGCATACCCAGCAACGCCCAGGACGAATCGAACATAAGCCACAGCAGCCTGCTCAAGCGACACCACAAAGCTCCAGACTCGGGCACGAAGTTGTCCCATTCGAGATTGTAGCCTCCTCTCCTGATGTCCCAAAGCCCGTCGAAACCCCGGTACGTTGTTCCCACTCGAAATACGAACTCAAGTTGCTAAGGGTTGGTCAGAACGTACATAGATTGCGAGGCATATTCTGGCTGCTGGCATATTGCCACAATAACCTTCAAAGCCCCTTGTGTGCGTGCACCAGCTATTTTGGTCATTGTTTAGTAAGTAAGTAGTATCATGCAGGGCTAGGCAGGGCCCCTGCCAGGCAAACTTCCCATGTCTTGATGTCCTCCATCAGCACATGACTTTCATAACTCCGAGCTTAACGAGAGCCATCTGAGTAGAGGATGGACTTCGATTTCCGACACTTTGGAGACTACAGCTTGGACATGTGAATTCCGCAAAAACTGCTTCATGAATCACATTCCGCATTTCTCCTCCCGCGTAGCTTCGCAGTCTCGGCCTCCGATTTCCCCATTGAATCTTCCTCATGGAGAGGCTGTACAACAGCGCGTGCGATTTGATGCCGTTGAAGGCACGTACGAGTAAGTCAATGATATCGGAACTTAATCTCTGCAACACTTGGGAGGTGCTGGGGACTACGGTAGAATCGAAAATGAGAATGGTGGACTAGTCCCGCAGACTTCGATGTCCACCTCTTGAAAGCTAGGACTGGGCGTGAAGACTTCACCGCACGGAGTGGATTAAGCCCCATGTGCTCTTACGGAGACAGGAACACCACAGTCCAGACAGTCCAGGCCATATGGAGGGTTGTACATATGTAAGCACATGTCGTCAGAGCCTCCCCTTTCTTCTGGTCTGCCAGCGGTCTCTTTGATCATGACAGCGAGTTTGGTTGCTATGCTTTGTTTTTTTGTCGATCACTTTTGCCTTGGCCTTGGTTCCCATTTCACCGATGGACCAATGTGTCGGTCCTTCTCTGATGGAAGATATTGTAGTACAGCGGGGGGCGTTTCAGCACATATTGAAATCAAACACCGCATCGAGGGCGTGATGACAACAACTCCGTCTCGCCCTTACAAGGGGGTTCGTACATGGATCCCGTCTAGAGGCATCCCGCGGCTACGTGTTGGATTAAATGTCATGCGGGCGGTCGGGGAGCAGGGGACTGTTCGCGAGTTCAGTTTTTACGCAGTTGTACCTCGAGAAGGTGGTTGGTTGTGTTTCTGACGATCGTAACATTATGACTCGGAGATATCCTCACCCTTTGCACCGGCCTCGGCCTCTTGTCGTGAATTATTGTTCGTCAGAATGTCAGTTGAACTGGGAGTCAAATCCACAAGAAGACATGCTATCAAGTATTATATCAGTGCTCTGCAGCTGTAAATTGTATTGCAAGGTATGATGCACGATACACGCAGGATATCTCTCAATCAAGAACCCCAGTCTATTACCCGAACTGCGTGCATGTACGTGGCGATGGTCCAAGGATTAATCAGAGTCTAGAGTCGACCAGTCATGATATCAACAGCCGTTCAAGTTGCCAACAAGGAGAACATACCCTATGGCTGTCATGAGAACGAACCCAATGGTAGCAACGACCTAGACGTGCATTACCGAGTAAGAATGGGCCAGGTTATAAGACATGCCACGTACAAGAGTGGCGATAATACTGGCGGGCACGCCATTCTTCAAGAAGTCCATATTGGAAAGATAAAGACGTCCAAGCTCATCCTCTTGGGCGGCACTAGTCACACATAATGCGTCAGGTTCGATTTGCAGCGGTCGTGTGATGGACATACGCGGTTTGATTAGGAAATCCAGAAACAGGCATACCCATTCCCGTAGAGCAAAGGAGGCCAGTCATAAAGATGAGCAGATTTGCATGGCTGCCGGGTAGTCTTTCTCCAAGCTCTTTCGCGATGGGCACAAGTAGCACGCTTGCAATCGTATGACTGATAAATGTCGATACGATCTGGAGGAGGTTGATTAAACTGTAGACAGCACAAAAATGACCACAAACCAAAACGATCGGGGAGAGGACAAGAACGACAGTGTACAAGGAGAGACCCTCGAGCAGGCGATGGATAATCCCATCCATAGTCACCATCAAGCCACTGGAAGTAACACCCTTGCCGAGAGCAATTCCGCCCATTGCCAGGAAAACAATTGTCCAAGCGAATTGTTCAAAGTCGTCCTTGAGAACACGCAGGTTAGTGTGGACATTGCCAATCTACTCACCACGCACCTTTTTAAGCACACCGGTAGCAAAAAAGGCCACAATTGGAATGATAGCAATAACACCCATGTCTCCCACAAGACCCTCAATTTCGTGCTCAAAACACCAGAGAGCAATCGTGACCAAGCAGACAAGTGTAACCCAATACTGCTTGAGGGTGAAGGATTCCCTTGTTGGGCGAATAGTCCGAATCTCGATCTCTCCCTCCCCGTCAGGCGAACGAGCAGGGCGGTACATCACAAGCAATAGCAGCCAGATGAGCAAAATAGAGATTATGGACACCGGAAGTGCCACAGCGAACCAACTCGCCCAATCGAGTTTAGGATCCATCGCCGCGAGTGCGATGAGATTTTGTGGAGACGATATCGGTGAGCTCTGGCCACCTATGTTAGCGGCCAGGGCAATGGCGAGCTGCAGGGTTCATGAGTGATTGAACTCGCACGTGGAGGATAACGAACAATTAGCGCTGGCGCAAAAGACGAGCCAGGTGGCAACGTTCTCAAGATCGGCTGAACACAATAAAAATCAGACAATCGTTTCTGCGGGTGTGGGATGCATATCACTTACTCGGATGAGAGTGAAGCACAGTGTTGGAGCTGCAACATTACTGAGACACGTTAGCAACACGTGAGTAACGGGGATGGGTGTGACCTACCTAATCCACATGCTCGCAAAACAGGAGACACCCATAAAGGCAAGAAGCACGGAACTAGGTCTTGAGCCTGCGAGGCTCAGAACTCTCGTAATTAGAATCCGATCTATGTTGGTTTTGCTCAGAGCCGAAGAGATTGTGAACCCCCCGATCAGAAGCATGATCGTGGGCGAGAACATGACAGAGAATATATACCTGGATCATGTACTCAGTATTTCCGAGGAGGGTGATTTTAAACAACTTACTTCGTTGCATCGGGCGTAGACAAGGCAATGCCGTCGTCATCGCGGATGACCCGTAAGCAGACTAACAAGAGGGGGACGCAAATCGATGTCACGAACAAGGGTATTGCCTAAAGACGAAGATGAGTAACAAGTGAAAGTCAGAGGATATCGCGCACCTCTGTCGCCCACAATATGGTGCTGAATGCAAGTACAGCAAAACACTTATTGGCCTCTTCACCAGCGACGATGTCCATTTTCAATAAAGCGATGAAAACAGCTAGCGCAACAGTCAACGACACCCTCTTCTTTGTCAACTTCAGACTTCCAAGAGGTGTCGGGACATCAATAAGGCTACTTTCTTCCTGTTGTACCAGCGTAGCGCCCATGAGAGCACCCAACCCGTCGACAGTACCGTGTCGCTGCTGCCCAATCATTTGACGCCAGACTGTATTCCGCTCCCACGCAATGTGTTCGCGCTGGTACAGCTTGAGCTGCTGCTGTGCTACTAACTTGTCTCCATTTGTCACACATTTGGCATAGAGATCGGTGAGTCGGGCAATGGCATCCGACACTCTGGCTTTCGACTCTTCTCTAAATGGCGTGGAAGTCTCCACGACTTCGTGCATGTAACGGTCTTTGAGCTGAAGTCGATAATTAACTATGAATCAAGGTGCAATGAAATGCTACATACCTCGCTATACATGACTTTGTCATACCTGAGCAAAATCCCTTCAACAAATCTTACGCGAATGAGATAAAACCAACCTACTTCTTTAGAATCTTGCGGAAGCCAGAGTAATTGACCTCTACGTAAGACCTCAGCGAGCAGAAAGTGACGTAAAGGTTGGTTATTTTTCGCTTGAAAAGCAATCGGGTATCCAATGCATAGTTGCTCTTTGCGGTCCAGATGGTGTCTCCAACGGAGGTTACACTATCCTTCATACTCCTCAGCCGGCTAGCCAAGCTGCGAGCTCTCCCCATCGGAGACATGCTGGCGTTTGCGCCACGCGAACCAGATGCAACCTGCGATGCTGATCGTGGACGCGGGACAAGAGATAAGACACTTGCGTCTAAATCTCCTGCTTCGCTAGAAGAGACACTGAAGCGGCGATTTGGAGGCTCCTCACGAATAGAACCTGCTCAGTCAGCGTTAGCCGTGTATGACATTGGTTTTGCAAGGCAGACCTGTTGCAAAACGTGTTCCATATCCGACGGAGCTCGATTTGCGGCGCCTGTGTCGGGACCCTTTGCCGTAGTTGTCAGATCGGGTTAACATGTTGTATTCATCTTCCTCGTCTTCTTCCTCGTCTTCTTCGTCTTCGTCCATATAGTTGAGTCCCGCCTCAAGCCCAGCCTCGTCGTGCTGCGTGATAGATTGCTCCAACTCCGCAAGTTCACCCATCAACTCCTTTTCCTGTGCTTCGTAAAACCTCACAATCTTCTGCAGCTCTCTGTCCAGTAGTGGTTTGAATAGACTGTCCGCGCTAGGCGTATCAGTGTGGTCGACGAGGGTCGTCTGTTCATTGGCCTCCAAGTCATGATAGGACGGTTCTATACCATCCGGGCGTTGCTGCCGCTTCTCCAGCTGATAAATGTATCGCTTGAGTATATCGTAGCTTCAAGATGAATTAAAAACGTGTATTTGGATATGAGGGATCAAACATACGCGATATATTCCTCCCACCAATCCGAGACAGCATTGAACTTTAATGCCGAACTGGAAGAGCATCACCGAACTCCGTTAATGTTTTAAAATGAGTAATGGTGCACACCTGAATTTCATTGCGAATGCTTGAAGAGATGGGCCACCTAATAAGGTCGAGGGTGCGAACGACCTAAGCGGAATTTCTTCTAGCTCCGTTGATATAGATGGACCACTCTTGCGTTGGCCCAAAGCCCAGTGTCCAGACACTGTGACTGGAAGATGACCGCTAAATGAGAGACTTAGCTAACGTGCTGTCCTGATGCCTCGGTCGACGCTAAGGTGCAACGACAGGACACGATCGCCAAAAATGGTAATGTCACGTGAGCGGCAATTGCCGGCCCATCATTCAGTGTTTTTGCCTGCATCATGCATCCCATGTGGTATGTCGCATAGTCCACACATGTAATATCTTCAGGCCCGGCACCAACATCCTCGAGACGCGCTTGGCGCCTGTGTCCAATTCATGCAGATTCTTCGCAGTAGACGCTACTACCAGTGGGGTCCTGAGGCCGGAGGAGAATCAGCTATTCACATATCGAACTATCGCCTGATGCCCTCATCATGCGACCATCCCCGGGCCAACCAAGGATCCGTGCGTTGCTACAATCTGTCGCTGTGCTCCGAAGACCCGACTTATGAATGTTGTTTCTCGAATCAAGGAGGGAGCTGAAACTGTCATAACTTTCAGTGTGCCTTGTCTTGTTCCCTTCCAACTACTGGGAGACTGAAGTTACATGAATAATTTGATGCATTCGGACAATAGATTCCACAATCTGTGCCTTGCTTCATCATCTACCTATCCATCTTTGTCCTTGTCCTTGTCCTTGCGCGATACCGTTTTCTGCCAATGTCCGCGGTCTCTTTCGAGATAGCCACATGTTATATTTCTCTAGTTTCCACTCAGTGACCAATTGATAACGGTGCAATGATTGCAATGTTGTACACAAGATGGCATCTTGCGCCCTCAGTCAGGTCGGCAACTCCCGTCTCCCGTGTGTAAATTGACTTTCGTTGGTCAAACTGTTTCAAGACGTTTCATGGCCGCATACTAACGTTCTTAGTAGCTACAGCTTACAAGTTCGCCAGTACTGCGAGCTGCGAGCTGCGACCAGCACCAAACCCGAATTGAAAATGGAAGCAACAAGTAAATGACGTCAACCCCTATCATATATAGCTCTCCCCTTCTCAGACCCTATTCGCGACGGGCATTTCGGACAGGTACTATTGCTCTATACAGCACCCCAACTGATGTGTCTCCATAGAAGAGCCGACACCCCCATGCGCCGAGCATAATATCTATTTGATCTCGAGGTACGTCCAGTCGCACTGCATGATCGAATTTAAAGCCACCCGAGAATAGCACCGACTTGACGAATACGGAGGCGCAGATCTCCAATCGTCTTTCCATCATGCCATGGTCCGTGAGTGCGCATGCGCAGGTGGTGCATCTCGAAGCATATCATATGATCAAGCTTCCTCAGGATATTACACTCAGGGAAACTGGACTGGTTTCACGCAGCCAAGGTCTCCCTGACTTCCCTGAGGCAAGCCAATGAAGCGAGACAGCTTAGTCGTGGTTCACGCATGTTAGACCTATCTTGGATATGTCGTATTTCTGTCAATCACCATCGAATATATCGCTCACCTCTATCCGAATTGTATCCAGTCTTCTCAGGCGATCCACTTCAGGCTACGCACCTGCCTACCTAACTCAGACAATAACCTATTGTCGCACCGCAGCAGCCATGTCCCTGACGCAACGCCAAACAAAACAAACTCAAGCTAGCCTTCCTAATCCACGCTTTTTGAAATGGCCTTCGCACATGAACAAGAGCATGATATCGGCGTCTATCATATGTCTGTCCCCCCTTTTGCTTCCCCCTGTGAACCCAGTTGCCCCACTAAGCCATCCTGTAACCTGTTCTCCCGCTTCGGCCGCCAAAAACACACCATACCACACCACGGACGCGTTCCATTAGAATTCCAATTCGCAACCGTGTCACATTTGCATTTGCCTGGGCAACCAGCTATCCGGTATCAGCCCTCGCCGGACTCAGGTTCCCATCTCAGGCCACGGCCACGGGCCCGCCCAGCATAAATCTGATATCGGACAATGCCAACAGGCTGAAATTTGACAGCCGCGAAAAGCCCGGCTGCTTACATCTACATTCCTCCATTCCACCATCGACGCGGTCACTTAAGAATCCCCCTCGATACCAATCATCCTTCTCCTTCTTTAGGATTTAAATACCCATGATCCAGTAAGTAACTGATCGTGGAGAATAAGATTAAGATAGATTAAGATGTGTCATCCAGGTCGACGTCTCGACCCCGTGGTTCTGTCGCTGTCTATTTCATTGCGGTTCGGACGGTCATCCCGATGGGGTTCCTCAACATCTTCACAACAAAAGTGGTGTTCCGACATCAGAATTGTTCAGCCCCACGAGACCCCACGTTGGAATCGGACGTGGTATCCAAACCCTCATTCGCTCGGACTGAAGTTGAAGAGGGTGTGGTACGCCCTATCAAACTAAAATTTATTATACGTGACCCTAGTAATTACAACTAAATCAATGCAACGTAAATCCATGCGACGATAGCAAACACGACAGTATAAAATCAAATACGGAAGATGATTAAGGCCGACAGTGCGGACGAACGTGAATATGTACGACCATGAGGGGCATGAAAAAACCATGAATGAATTGATATCAAAACGCACTACTACCACGGACGATGTGGCCCTCGCGCCGACGAATCAGATTCAGCCTCGTCATCATCGCAGGAGTGACGACAGGCTGATAACCGAGGGTCTACACCAGCAGCGGACTTGCGGCTGTACCTCTGCGCATCGGGAGGCGATGGCAGGCGCGATGTGTCATAGCCCGGATGCGCGCGCTGTTTCCCGGCTGACAGCTGCTCAACATGTCTCGATTTATACGACGGGACTTCCACAGAACGTGGAGTAGTAGGCGATACAGGAGATGCGCCATCACCGGAGCTTCCATCGTGAGATGAATGGTAACTCAAGCTGAGTTCCGGCGAATGTGGCGTTCGATATGATCTGGAGGTTTCCGTGCCGAAGGGCCCATCCAAGGAGGAACGATGCGTGCCTGATGATCCGTGTTTCGGCCACGAACTAGGTGGATATGATTGTGGTGCTCTGATAAAGAAGGGTCGTCACTATTGTGAGTCATGCAGGTACGAAAAATAATTACCGTTGTTGTGATGTCGACGCTGATCTTTGCCTTGGCCACTGGGTGGCCTCGTGTCTGGCATCAGCAGAATACTCGTCATCCATCTTCAAGCGTTCCAACACCGCGGCTGAGTCATGCGTGGAAATTCCTCGCAAGTCTTCGAGCGCAGAAATAGGAGGCAATGCATATGATGTGGTGCTGATGTGCCTTGGAGGAGCCAAGGGTTGAATCGGAGGCAGCACAATTTGATCCCCGGGGAACTTGCCGTTTCGAGCATCATGATGAAGCTCCTGTAGAGAAATCGAAGGAATATCTAGCGAAACTGAGTCACTAGTTGCAACCGAAGGTTTGCGAGTAGGGGGAAACGATGAAGTGGGATAAGGGGAATATCGCGACCGCGCCGAGCGCTCGCGCATAATTGGAGATGCAGAAGAGGAGATATGTAGGGGCGGATTTGTGGGCTGCGGATGTGAGTAAGATGGCGCGTCTCTGTACATCATCGATGGAAGGGAAGCTGGCTGTCCCGGAGGCAGATAGTGCGCTGATGGGCTTGTATGGGCACTTGGCCCTGCAGCAGGGATAGCCCATGATGTTTGCGAATCACGAGGAACAGGTGGCGCGGGCGCGACTACTTGGTTGTTCCGGCGTGAACGCCTCCGTCCGGAGGCATTGGATACTACTTGGCCATAGCCTGGTTGGTCTGGGGAGAGGCATGTGCTTGGGAATGTGGGTCTATTAAAAAAAATGAGTCAGCTAGCCTAGGATGGAAGAGCAAAAGATTTACCCGAAAAGTGGTACTAGATCATCACGGATTGGCCAAGCCACTCTGGACTAAAATCAAAGGCTGTTCCTCGCTATGGAGGTCGCAAAACTCACCGTCGTGAAAGCCGGAGGGCAACCTAATATGGAGTGAGCACTGCTGTATATAGGAGACGGAGAATGCTGACCTCGTAAGGCATCCATGTTCCTTGAATTTTTAAATACCCTCCCCGCACACGGCGGATAACGGGCGCCAAGTCAGGCTGTGAATCGATCATTTTGACAATGTCGGCTTTGGTTCCATATGAGACACAAGGCGCTGACGGAGGATCATAGCACGCTCACCCTTTGAATTACCGAGAGCTGTGATGACAGAGGGTAAGGAACTGAATTAGTATGGGAAAGCAAATGTCACACCTTTCCAAATGCCCGTCCAAAGAATATATCCATCGTCAATATCCATCATGATCCATTGACCGTTGAGCGGGTATTCGTATACGGGACTAGAAAGAGTTTAAGCTCTGCGAGTGAGGTAGGGTAGAAGGAGAGCTTACATGTAACCTCTGGGGTCATTGCTCGTGATGTAACGACCTTTGCTGACCTGGTGGTTTGGACTTGCGTACGGACGAAATCGGGGACCTTGTTGAGGCATGGAAGGTGAAGTTGCCATTGAATCCTTTGTGGAAGATGAGGATGAGAGAAATAAAAAAAATTAAAAGAGTGGCTCACCGGGAGGGACATGATGGAAGTGAAAGGGAGGTCAATGATAGGTTTGAGCTTGGATGGAGGTTATAAGTATTCCGGGGGGAAGGTGGAATAAAATAATTTTGAAGAGTTGGAGGAAGTGGTGGTGATGGCCACGTCGTCGTAATAGTAGTAGGTATCTAAGTAAATGGCATCGACGCTAGTAGTTGACATATATACCTAGATAGCATTACATAGATGCCGTATATAGACCTGTTAGCATGCGTAGACCGGCCCCCTAAACAAGCAATCGCGCGAGGCACCCTTCCCCGACGGCGACCCTCGGCACCGGAAACGATCATGCCCAAATTTGGAATCAGAACCTTCCATCCTTCTATTTGCCCTGTTCTCGAGAAAGAATTTCTGTCACATTTCTAATAAACCTTGAATACTTTCCATACAACTAACTAAACTACTTGATGACATTTCCTCACGCCTCCGTCTCCGTCTCCTCAACCGTCGCCTAGCCTATCACGAGGATACCTATGTAACGGCACTTCTGTCACGGTCGCATCAGGAGGGAAGGCACATTTGACGAAAAGACAACCGAACAAGGTTTGTACACTCGTCCGGCAGAAGCGTTCAGCCATGATTTTCATGGAGACACTGCGGACAATAACGCCACTTTTAGATGCAATGAGTGTCGAGGGCGCGGGTATCAAATGTATCATGGCACTCCCGGCCTCTCCATGCGACAAGGCGCGTCATGTTTGAGCAGTGACTCACATGGCGACATCTGACTCCGCCCACGGATGGATTACTCCCACTGCCGCCGTCTCCCCATCATCCTCGAGACACCATTGCAACATTTTTTTGTTATTTATTTACATAAAATGAGACTTCGTACTACATAATCCCCGACTATTCCTATTTGAATTCTTCTTAAATGCTGGCAATGAAAGGCTCCCTCGGTCCAAGATACTCCTGACCTTATTATGAGAGCAATATATCCTAATTTGGAAGCGAGCTTCGATCAGCTCATGGGTGCCTCAGAAGGGTGAAGCGTCGATCACAAATTGCTAGACCTCGATTGCCCTCGAAACGTTCCGGATTCATCCACAAAACGTATTTTGGCATCCAGCGAAACCAAGGTGAAACCCCGGAACAACGACCCGGCATCCTGGCGAATGCCTTTCGGTACCGAAAACACACACACACGCAAAAATAAGCGTGACTGAGGCACGATCGCACGAAACTACTCCCAATTAGGTCATTTTTTCACCTCCAACTACCGTCACCTCGTCACTCAACATCACGACAAACACAGGTCTATTTACATTTCCAACTTATCCTTATATATATATCCATCTAGTAAGGTCCACCCCCGTGTCCATATCCCTTCCCAGCAAAGTTCTCTAGTGCCCGTCTAGTCTCCTCTCCTCCAACTTTGCTTGTAGTATAAATCACGTTACTGAACTTGAATCCATTGAATTGGCTCGCAGCGCATATAGTGTATGCACCCATGTTGTCAAATCCAAGCCAGTCCCCAATTTGAAGGGCACCTGGCAATTCAACTGCCTTGCACACGCAGTCAATAGAGTCACACGTCGGCCCCCATACGCTGCACAGAGACAAAGGCTCCGAGGAAGAGACGTGGAACGATCCGTCAAGGGAAAGCACGTAGGGGTTGACGGTCTGGTGATCAAACATGATGCAGTTGAACGCCCCGTACACCCCATCATTGATGTAGTCTGCCCCAACAAAGTAATTTTAGTCACGGTGTAATGGTATGAGAAACCTTATCCACATACACATGACGCTTGGTTCATCCGAAGTTGGCTTCGGATCCAAGGGCTCCAAAGTATTCTCGATCATCGGCGCCCTGCGTGCGATGATGTTGGCAGCCAGGCTGAATGCTCTGGACACATAAAAACGGCCAGGCTCCGCAATTAGCCTGATACCTTTTCGGTCAGGGAAGTAATGATTGATGGCGTCGGCCAAAACAGATGCGGCGGCTTCGAATCGCGCATCTTCAAAACCACCGCCCACATCAAGCAGGGAAAACTGATAGCCAACCTGCGACCCCATAGCGAAGGCGTCGCGGGCGCGCCTGATGGCATCACCGTAGATGGTTGGGTCATAACATCCACTTCCCACGTGGAAACTGACCCCAATTACGTCTAGCCCGAGCTCCTTAGCCTTCGACAACAGGCTGGGAACAACCTCAAGGGGTGCTCCAAATTTGATACCGAACCGACAGATACTTTTGGAATCATCCGCGAGAATCCGAACGATAAGTTTGGCATCCGGGTGTGCACGCGCAATTTTATACAATTCATCGGCATTGTCGAACGTCATAGTGTTAACACCAGCTCTTGCAGCGCTCCGCACAAAAGAAGTTGCTTTGCATGGGTTTGCGAAAATGATCCTCGATGGATCGACGCCACCAATGCTGAGGACCTGAGAAATTTCCCCGTTGGATGCGCAGTCAAAGCCAGCCCCCAAAGCAGCGAGGAGCCTCAGAACGTATGGGTCCGGGTTGCACTTGACCGCTAGGGACTGGGTCAGAAGTTTAAGGAACGTTCAAAGGCGGGCTACAGACCGTAGTGTGGGACGATCTCTGGAAGATTCTTGATCCATCGCTCATGTTGGCGGTAGACTTGGCTGAGATCAGCTACGAAAAAGGCTCTTTCTGCGTCAACCTCGTTCGCGCCAGCTCGCATTGCGGCATCTATGATGCCCTTACGAAGATGGATTTCGGGGTGTCCCCTGAATAGAGGAGGGAGGGAAGAAAATATTTTGTCATCATCTAGCCGGTTCTCTCCTGCGGTGTCATTGGTTGCTACGTCAATCAACGCTGGCAGGTCCTGGACCACAGGGTCGAAAGAGGCGTCTGGATTTCTTGGAAAATTTGGGAAGTTGCTTGAAATGAAGTGGTCGAGTGGGTTCAAAGCAGAAAGAATTTCAACCGGAGACATCGGGAGATGGTCCGCGGGTGATGGGTCTATGCAATCGGACTTGTCTATAACGGAGTTTTGACCGCAGCCGGTGTGGATGGCTGGCGTTCTTTTCAAAACCTCGAATTACCGAACCAGAACCGCTGGTCTCAGAGGAACCACGGGCTAGTACGGCAATAGAAAGGGTCTCTTCAGTAAGCGGTGGGTTCCTCGCTCCCTGTCCAGCGAGGAAAAGGCTTGAAGGGTAAGGTGGTAATAAAAAAACCAATCGAAAAGGAAACTGGGACGAGAGTGGAAGAAATGAGGTAGGCGAAGGAAGGAAGTGGGTCCTGTCAAGGAGGTTCGCCTGAACCGAGTCTTAAAATCAAAACGCCACCACAGCATGGAGCTTTTAGCTTACCACGAACAGAAGACCACCTGGCAATGCGGTGGAGAGTCAGTATTGGCTGATATCTTAGGAGACAAAAGAAAATTAAGCGCGTACTCGAGGGTCAACAAGCGGAGATCACTGTTTCTTTCCTGATCAGTAATGATGATACCTAGAGTCTCTGGAGTCGCTGTTACGACGACTACAGCGAAGATGCGCGATTTGCTTGTTGGCAAAGGCTGATTTGCCGTTGGTCTAGCAAATTGGCAATGGCTCGTTGAATTGAGAGAAATTTTGTTGATCCATTGGAAGTTCCGGGAGTACCTAATTGTTACGTAATCCTCCGCGTATCGCTTGTGGTGCATTCTTCGCGTGACGTAGTTCATTCTGTCATGAACACCGCTGCTGCGCCTTCATTCCTCCACCTTCTTCGAGGTCGCATACATAGATTGGCGGGCGTCTTAGAAGCACTATACAGAATAGCCCTCTCCATTGATCACGCCTGCGATCTATACCGACTCAACACCGCATGGACTGCTGTGGTTGTCTCAGAGCCTCGAGGCATGTTCAGATTCACTACGGAACATACTGAAACCTAGATTCATACTACCTCAAACCAGCTAGAACCCCAGAGCAGGATATAAACAGGTGTGTTCCTTGCTTTCCGTCGAAGACGCTTCTTCGCCGCGTGTTCTCGTCTCTTTGGTCCGTTATAACTGAGATCAGTATAGATCTCGCTTCCTCTTCCCTCTATTGACGGAACGCGAGGTAACCAAAGATAAGTTTCTCCCCACGATTATAAAACTACGCTCTCCTCGGCGAGCTGTCATTGCAGGGCAGCGTGAGCTCTCGTCAACTCCTTGTTTAGCAGTATTCCCCGATCGGTAGGCGATGACATCCCTCCTGAAACGATGACAGGTATGGTTTCAATTCATCATCTTCTATTTCAGACCATTCCCATGACCCACCCAGCTATATCTGGTCCTTGTGCAATATGGTACTTATACGATTCATTGTCAGAAACCTGTCCACCATTTTGAACCTTGATTTCTGACATGTACATAACAAGTAGTTCTTTCTGCTGGTCACATCATTTCCTGTTTCCCCCGTCTTGGGCGTGATGCTAGGTTATATATGTGTGCATGCACAGCAAACAACGGAGCTTGATCTTACAAATGGCTTCAGAAGCTGCGTCGGTTTCCTTCGCGAGGCTTCGAGCCAGGCCTCGAGCTGGAGCTGTTGGCGGGAAGAAACGTGGTCACGTCATTGCCCCAAAATCTCCATCCAGTGTTAGATCTTATCATCCAACGGACTGCAACGGACCGAGGTCGACCCATATGCTTTTTAAGTTTGCAAAAGGGGCCGATATAAGATGTGAACTTCGAAGGAACCGTCCGGACTAACAAATAACGTCGTTTTGGGCCTTGTGCAACGAGGGAGAGGTAAAGCTTCGGCTAGCGTAGCCTTGTTGTCCCCAGGCTACCCAGCCGATGCAGGCCCGGGTCGAGGTCATTTAACGGGGCGGGATACCGTATAGCCATAGCGATTATGTCCATTGCCCATGTTGGTTTGTGGCAGCAATTCTCCGCTGCAAATGAAATCAAACAGTCAGCTAAAGGGGTGACAACTATCTACGCAGGAGCCCCGCGATGGAGATTTGCGTTGCTTAGGATCATACGCGGTGGGGGTAAAACATCCGATTCGGACTGAGATACTGGTCCCTTGTACGCCGTAAGGTCGTGGTACTCTCCGTCATATGATTGCCACTGTCCTTGGGCCACTGTACGAAAAGTGTGACAGACAAATGGAACATTCCATGCTGCCAAGGCCAAGCAAAACTAACGAAACAATTGAGGGTCTCTCAGGATATTCCGTAAAGGTGATAGGGACGCGGACCGCCATGCGTTCCGCTTCTACTTGACATTGGCGAGCACAGCGACTGCAGAAAAATACTTTGTATAACCCGTCGGATAAATTCCCAATCACTGGCGAGAATCTGCCCAAGGAGCATGTGTGTCCGCGGAGGCAGGTGCGTCGCGCGACGTTAGCGGCGCGTGACTCTGAGCGACGTGGGCATCCCATTCCATCAGACCGCCCAGGGGTAGATGCTGCACGACTACCCTCTTGCCAAGAACTTCTGCCTAAGTATAATTTGATGAGAGGATAATCAACGAGAAGGTCTGGCATAGAGAATGAAGGGTCGTCGTCACCTCATACATCTTGAATAATCCATTGTGGACTTTCCCCCAATTAGGAACCCCAACGGCGATTGAGTGAAGCTGAGACGAATGTTCGTAAAAAGGACCATGTTTGACTTGATGAATCCGCATAATAGACATGAAGTATAAGTTGCTTTGGGGAAGCGGGGGGTTTAGGACGGAAGCTACAGTAATATCCGTCTGGTCTGTGTGGTAAGTCATGAAAAAAATATTAGAAAATGTACTAAATAAGAAAGTGGATTATCATGCCTCGTAACTGTCCGCTTCCAAAGATATATCCAAGGAAGCTATAATCGTCGAGTCCCCAAACGCCATGGCTCCCGGCAGGCTCCAACTTGTAGACATCCTGAATTTTCCAGCACAGTTGGAGATAGCGTAAGAAAACGCTGAGAACCAAATGTCGCTCTTCATCTGGCTCAGGTTTTACAAATCGTATGAGGGTCAGGCAAAGAAGGAAGATAGCGAATGATGTTTCATGACCGGTCCCGTAGTCCATCCTCAGGAAGGACCCGAACGACGTGAGCAAGTAAGGTTTCAGATATGGAAAAGCGGAGACAAACTTCTCGCCAAGCAGTTTCGAGAGAAGCTCGTCAGAGCGCTGGAATGTTGTCATTGCAGTGAGACATAGTTGTCATGCATGTCCGATGAACTCGCCTCCTCTAAGCGAGCTCCCCATGTACGAAATGCAAGATTACCGAAGCGCTGAGGCGTCTGAAGCGGCGGGATTTCGTCAACCCAGCCCCACAATGTATCCAGGAGATCAAGTATTCGGTCGATTTCCTGTGAAGTTGGTGAATCAGATAATGGTGGCGCAATCATGACCGCAGACCTGGCTCTGTGTTGGGAGGTTCACTGGAGGAAGCGTGTAGTCAACCACTGCTTCACTCAGCCGGCGTAGGAACAACAGGTAATCTGCATATCCCTTCGTAGATTTCCAGACTTCCACATCTTGATCACTTCGTATTTTCAGCTCCGGGATGGCCTGCAAGAGGGGCAGCTCAATCTGTCTCAATGGCAAAAGCCTCATCTGTGAGTTTAGTGGCATATCGACAGTAGTTGGAGTGTTCGTCGTACGCAATAATGCGCACTGAGGCGCACTGCCAATCACGCATCTCTTACGTAATACGCGTTCCTCACCTGACATTTAGCCACGTTCTCACCCTTAACGCGACGCTCCGAAGCTCCTGACTCCATTGTCCAACACCACATTGACTCGGAACTGAGACCCGCATAAAAGCGTTTTCTACAGAAGCGAACTCCTATCCACCTTACAATGCCTCCGTTTGACGACTGGAATATTATCGACGAAGAAGAAGAACAAGAGCTACAGGACGCCGCAGTGAGTGATCCTGCCAAGTCAGGGCCCATCCAGAAAGCTCACGAAAACCTATCCTAGTTTTTCGAGGGGAAACGTGATGTTATCCTCTTTTGCATCGATTGCTCAGAGTCCATGCATGAACTTCGAGACGACCCTAATTACGAAGATGTCAAAACATCCCACCTGTTCACTGCGCTTGAAGCAGCCATGCAGATTCAGAAAAAGAAAGTCATAGTAGGCCCCAATGATTCTGTTGGCATCGTACTATTCAACACAGTGAGATTTGCGCCGTGCCACATTGAGTTTATGTTCACAATTGGCCGTGGAAGACTCGCTCTTCTGAGGCAAAAAACCACGCTACAGAAATCAAGAAGAACTCCTTCGTTTATCAGCCTATTTTGCCCATAAGTGCCCCAGTCATTCAAGAACTGATTCAATTGTTGGATGGTTTGTCATGTTGACTGTCGTGTAACACCTCAAACTCAACGATGTGCTCCAAGCTGCTCGAGAAGACCCGGACTTGCTCAAATCCACGTTTCCTCCACTGACAGGAAAGAAAATGCCCATGGGTGATGTATTCACGAGCTGCAATTGGGTTTTGCGTGACGGGTGAATATGATGCAGTCCGGTGAACAAGCACCATAACTTACATTGTTCATTTAGAGCACCAAAGACAGCTTCAAAACGTGTCTTTTTGATCACGGATGATGATAATCCAAACCCAGGAAGCAAGCAGCTCATCACCTCCGCTCGAACCACCCTTTTAGTACGCCTATTTTCATGAAAGTGTACGGATGCGGCTAAATCAAGTTTTAAGGATTTGACACAATCAGGGGTTCAAGTTGAACCGTTCTTCATTGCCACCCCGGAGAAGCCGTTCGAGCCGTCCAAATTTTACTCGGTGAGAAACACCTGTCCTAGTTCTCATGGTTGACTGATGGTCCCCGAAGTCAGTTTTGCTGTCCAACGTATTGAACGAGGAGGAAGAAGACACTGGCGTTCTTCCCGAATCCATATCCATCACGCGTATTGATGATCTTCTGTCTCAGATGCGTTTCCATGAGGTGCCGAAACGCGCCATCTTCAGCATTCCTTTCCAAATAGCGGACGGGTTTGTGATTAGTATCAAAGGGTTAGTCACTGATTCTCCCGTCAGCTTACTAGACTTCAACATGCTTGCTGCAGTTATGGGCTTGTCACAGAACAGAAGAAAGGCACCTACAAGTACTTCGTCGACCTTGGCGATCGCATGGAAGTCGCTGACAGCCGTACGGCGTATATTGACGAGGTGCTGCGCTAATTTCATATCGTAAATTGGTACTCATGATTTTCATGACAGGATCAACAAGCGGAAGTGGACAAAACCAAAATAGTCTATGGGATGTCTCTTGGTGCCGCTCCTGTTGAAGATGTTAGCGAAGACGAAGGTGAAGGAGGTGATACGGTTTGTCGAGCTGTTCCATTGGGAAAAAGAGTATGTGTCCTTGATTGCCTTGGTTTAGTGCTAATGTCGCGTAGCCCTTTTATACTGGAGATGAGATCAGGTCTTTCCGCACGCTAGACCTTGAACCAAGTGTGTTGTGACTATCAGCCTCGGAGTTGTTTCTGACATAAGCAACCCATAGGCATCAAGCTACTTGGCTTCAAGAATCGCAAAGAACTAGCTTTCGAGGACAATGTCAAGCATTCTGTATTTATCTATCCCGACGAACTAGTGCGTTTTCTTACTGTTTCAGTTTATCTCGAAATAACTAGGCAAAGCAGAAATACTCGGGAAGCAAGCGCACATTCGCCGCTCTCCTGAAGAAAATGATAGAGAAGAAGAAGATTGGTCTCGTCGTGGCACTCACAAGACGCAACGCTGCTCCCGTCTTCTGTGCAATGCTTCCGCAAGTGAGCTTTATATTTCCTCATTTATTGTGCGCTTATTATATCTCTACCTAATTAGGCGGAAAGTGGCGAAGAAGGTGGATGGAACGAGCCTGCAGGTTTCCATTTGATACCCTTGCCATTCGCCGATGATATTAGAGCAGCACCGCTGGAGAAAGCGTTCCGAGGTATGCCATGATGCATCAGATTTCAACCTACAGCTAATTTGCCGCATATAGCGCCGGATGAGGTAAAGGACGCTGCACGGGTCTGGATTGACAAGCTCTGTGTCAAGAACGGAGCATATCCACCCGATACCTATCCTAACCCTGGTCAGTCAACGTTCCTGTCAAGTCATCCGCCATTACAAACTGAACCTAACCTGTGCTTGCAGCCCTTGCGTATCACAATGCCCAGCTACAAGCAAGTGCCTTCCGTGAAGAATTTGATCCGGAAGCCTTCGAGGACCTTACACGTCCTAAATATGATATGATTCACAAGGTGCGTGGATTGTATTCACATGTATACGTTCTCAAATCTAATATTACACTAGCGCGCTGGGAACCTTATGAAGGAGTGGAAGAGGGCTCTTCTGGCCGATGGGTCCGCGAATGTCGTCGTGCCTGTGACCACAGGATCCAAAAGAAAGGCTGTACGAACACCTGTTACTGTGTGATGAGACTGTCTGCTGATGATGCTATAGGACATGTCAGTTGACGAAGCGGAAATCCGCAGTAAACACGAGGCTGGTTCCTTGAGCAAGGTTGGTGCTTCTAATAATGATCCGATGCAATGCCTGAATCTCAACATCACTGCAGCTCCGCGTGGATCAGCTTAAGGTATGATTTGGTTGTCCCTGACCGAGCTATCCCACTCATTTGCTCCTAGGACTTTCTCAAGAGCAAGAGCCAGCCGGTGTCAGGCAAAAAGGCTGAGCTAATTGAACGCGTGGGTGATTGGCTGGACGCTCGCTGAGCGAATCAGTACTCCCACACGTCAATTAGAACTTAGAAGGAAAACACTTTTCTTCCTTATTTACAGTTGTGCATTTGTGTTATGAATCAGCTTTCTAAAAACTTACTCTCATATGCCTATATTCTTGTACCTGTACTCAGCTACATAATATCCTCGTATACGTTACAGGAGTTGACCTTGTCTCTTCGATGAGTGCCCTTGAATAGCCCTTGAATGCCACGGCCCGGGTTAGCAACGATTACGCCATCTCAGTCCGACCCATCTAATCAGTCAGCACTCGATAATTAGCAATTTTATTATCTCCCAGGACCCTTACGTAGCGGTCGTCTCAATCGATAGCTAGCTGCTAGCTCATCCTCGCCTTCCCGCACAACGGAGCAGTCATCGATTCACCAGTCTCACGAATCCCTGCAGCCATCACGTTAACCGAACAGCATCATGTCTACACCTGGGAATCTTGTTGAAATTCCGAACACCCCACAATTTCAAGAGTTGCTCTCCAAAGATCTCAAACGTATATCGCTCATCTACTTCTGGACGTCCTGGGCTGAGCCATGCGTGCAAATGAACCAAGTTGTGGAAGGGCTAGCGAAGGCATACCCAAAACTACTCGCGCTCAGGGCAAGTACCCCCAGAACCCTATCAAGCACCATATAAGATTGACAAGATATCATCAGGTGGAAGCAGAAGAGCAAGCGGACATATCAGACTCCTTTGACATCAACTCCGTTCCGACATGCCTGGTTATTCAGGTAAGTATTCTAGAAATCTCTTCCCTGAGTGTGTGACTAAGCGAATATCAAGGGCCATGCTTTACTTGCCCGGATCGAGGGCGGAGATGCGACCCGGCTTACAGAAACGATTGCAAAGTACCTGGGGAGCAAGTCCTCCGTAGCTCCCCAGTCAACCACATCTCAATCTCCTGTCCTTCCTCCATCTTCTGAGACGGTAGAACAGTTAGAGACCCGTATGCGGAGTATCATGAATCAAAGCCCAGTGGTTCTGTTCATGAAAGGGGAGCCAGATGGACCCCGGTGCGGCTTTTCCAGGACTGCCGTAGCGTTGTTGAGGGAGAAAAATGTTACATTCTCTCACTTTGATATTCTTAGTGACGAGAGTGTGCGGCAAGGTGAGTTTACACAGGTTTTGATGGAAATCAATCAACTGATCTTATTATCTCGGATAGGTTTGAAGACACTGAACGATTGGCCTACCTTCCCACAATTCATAGTAAACGGCGAATTCGTGGGAGGATTGGACGTAGTGAAGGAGATGAAGGAGTCGGGGGAGTTTGATGAAATTTTCCCTGCTTGACTCCGTGGCTAATGTGTACTGTTAATAAAAGTCTAACCCTTGAGCAGATGCTTCACAATACCGTCTTGCTGTCATGCGATTGAACTGGGTATGATTTGATTTGAAGAGAGTTTGCAATCCACGCACATGCATTGAATTCGAACTATCAAGGACGTCAGACATGTGAGATAGCTTCACATACTAGGGTGCTTGTTCTCACAATAGGGGTGCAGCTGCCAGGAGAAGTTCGCTTATCTGTTGAAGTCTCGGTAAACCATCCCTGCACATCGGAGACCACGAGCACGAGTTATTATGAACCTCGTCTCCTTGCCCGCACATCGCCGCCCATAGCGCTTAATCTCCTCGGTCGAACCAATGTGCTTATGCTTTACCTGAAATAATATTTGTTCCTGAACGGGTCCCTCAAACGATATGCCATTCGGCGCCGCAATCATGCACCTGGGATCGGGGGACAATATGCCATTAGGACCCTGCGCATCGCTTCAGGTTTATGTGGCCTCGTGGTGAGGTCGCATGTTTCGCATCATTCGCTCTGTGGATATGCTTACAAGAGTCCCGGCTTGAATGGATGAAAGTGTCGCAATTTCTGGTCTGAGAAAAATATAGATCGCCGAACAGATAAACGAAATGATCAATACTTCGGTCATCTTCCGTTGGGTTCGCCGATCTGTATGGGCTTGTGGGTGTGGGGCTCCTTGGCCTGTGAAGTCATCCAGTTAAGGTGCTTAGTCCCTTTGCAATCGGTGCAGTAATAATGACCTACAAAGAAGGTCAAGGGCTAACGAGTGGAGCAATGTTATCATAATTAAGCATCCTTCTTCCTCGAGGCATTTGTCATCAAACTTTGAGGCTTCGCACCGATAGCAGGGTATCCAACTGCATTTAATAGATGGTGATATCTGTGTAAAATGTCGCATAATTTTCCTGAAAGCACCAGGGTCTCGCAGTTTCTGGCCAGCATTGGAAGACGTGAATCAGGATACGAATACTTGGTGGTGGGCGTATATGTAATTGAGATGGGTCGCGTGACGTCACGCGATCAATAATTCCTGATTAATAAATAGATGCAAATAAGCGATAACCATTACGCATGCGAATTCATCCCAGCCTGCCTCAAGGCCTGAAAGGCTTTCGCCCGGCTTGCGGTTGCCATCCGGTGTCTATATAAAGCATCGGACCTCCCGCGACTTTTTCGTTCTCACTGCATGTCCATGTCATGACCCGTCACCCCATTGACAACCACCACAGCACACACCACCAAAGCCCTCCATCATGGCTCGGCGCTTGTCGTGTCCTTTTACTTCTCGACCTGCAAGTCAATATGCTCAGCAGCCCAGAAGAAGGCGGCGTCCCTTCTTCTGAGACCGTTTATCGGAACATTGAACACATTCTTGACCGTGCTCGCTCATCGAAGCAGCCGCCTCGCATCATTCATATCCGCAACTCTGGAGAGTCAGGTGATCCAGATGCACCCAACTCCCCCGGCTGGCAGCTCGTTTTTCCAATACTTGAGCACGAATTCGTCATCGACAAGTTGAAAAACAATGCTTTTTCTGGAACAAAACTGGCAGAACTTATACCACGCGACGCTGAACTCATAGTCGTCGGCATGCAAAGCGATTACTGTGTGCGTGCCACTTGTAGTGCAGCCTTGGGCAGAGGAAACACCGTCATATTGATCAAGGACGCACACACAACCTACGATCGTATCGAAGTGTGGAATGGTGGCATGGTCACAAATGCCCATGATGTAGAGCTGGAAATAGAGGCGGAGTTGGAGGAGGCTGGGGTCAACCTTTTGTGTATGTCGGATGTCCCGCACTTGTTCTGCGATCGGTGACACACATTTGCGGGAGTGATCGCTGAGAACTTCCGTTGAATCCGTTCCTTTCCTATCATATTAGTAGTTTGAAATTTGCGCTGTGAGTTTTTCTCTTGTCCACGCCTCCTTATACCTAAACGAGAGTGCTGATTACTCACAATGTTCTTGAGACTTTACTCAGTCGGTTATTGGTACCCGTTTAGAAGCCCTGAGGCTGATATGATGGTTTGGATGATTACCTTTGTGGGTTGGCTTGGTACCTTTACCTTAACTTACTTACAATACAAAAAGTTTTGTGATAACTGAATGTCACGTGAGTACTACGACTACCCTAAGCTTCGCAGCAGTGATCCGTGCAGTGGCTCATTCATAAGTTTTGACTCGGCCTCCACTATCATCTTCATGTTGAACCAAGTCGATCCATACAAGTCTCTGGCTCTTGGAACGGTGCTGTCATTTCTCAATCCAAGGCTGGCCTAAAGTGCTTATTCTCAGAGCCAGCGAGTGAAGCTCAACACTGACGCACCATTCACGCCCACATATATTCAGGCATCACTCACTCAATCAGCAGATCCACAGGGTATATACACGAATCGTGTCAAGAATAGGCACATTGTCCTAGAAAACCCTGCTCGCACCAGTAACGCACAGAAAGAACGTGACGCAAAGAAAGCAAGGAGGGAATCGGAAAAGAAGAAGAGAAAAACGGCTGCACTGGGGAGAAGATCCACAGACGCAAAGGGCCTCTGGAAGCTTGAGAATGGGGCAGAAAAGTGATTATTGAGAATTTGAGCGACTCTATGCGTTTGTCTGCTGATCATCCATCCCAAGATTTAATCTATTCCTCCCACTCCATCAGCTATGGATGGGATACATGTCTGAACTCTTAGGCCTATCGCCTCCATCTTCCGTTCCGGTCGCCGAAGCAATGCCTAACGCATCATCGATGCACCCAAAGCTGGTGAAGGCCGATTTCCACGGTTCTCTATTGACAGGTATTCAGGTTCAGTCGTTATATACTCATACACTTACATGCGTTATCACTTCCAAGTCCGCCAGAGCAAGAATCCTTGTTTAGTCGGCCTATCTGGTATTGTGATCCACGAAACTGAGAACGCTTTCAAAGTAATCACTCGCAAAGATCAACTCAAATGTGAATGTTCCCATCTTTCGCCTTTCATTATAGCTGTAACGCAAAAATGCAGTGATCCCAAAACAGAACTCAATATTCACGCTAGCGGTTCCCCTATACTCTACATTGCCTCAAACGCAATTCGAGTCAGCTGAAGCTGTCAGCTCTGCGCTGAGTGGTCAACGTTCAGGAACTGTCCTGGATGCTCCGCATATCGCCTTTGATTTGTATGGCAATCAATTTTGTTTCCGATCTGCAGATCGTGCAGGTCGGAAGTTCAAGGCAAAGGAAACAATCGAGTTATAGATCACTCCCGGGTCAAGGACACGGACACCTGACAATCATCTTCTCATCTACGATGACTGTTCCGCCGTATTCCTGCTGCATCACACGTCCTCCAAATACACGGTCAACCAGATCTAGCCTGGTATACTCTTCCCCAAGCGAGTTCCTGGAATCTGCAGAAGTATTCGGATTTAGGGATGGCAAAGTGAACGTAGGATAGTCATACTTGTCATACAACGATAGCACAACGGTTGCGGTCACGCTCTTCGTCACTCGTTATATCATGCGCTGCATTCAGCCATCTCATCTGATGCCGACCTGTCATGCTCTCGCAAACCTTTCATAACGCTCTCGATCATCCTCCATGGTACTGTCAGCTCAATCGGACTCACAGGATCGTTCGGATTTTTGTGCGCGTCATTTTCAGCTTTGCACTATACACCCGACTCTACATTTTGCCTTAGTCTGCTAAATGGGCGGTGCTGCGGCTCAGTGATAAAAGTCGAGCACAACCTCAGATGAGAGTAGCAAGCATCACAGTGCACAACAAGGCAAGGCACTCTTGGCTGTCGACAGCGAGCTCGAGCTTGTCCATAATCTCGTTCCCGCGACGGCAAAACGCACCACTATTTCCGGCGAAGCAGCTACACGAGCAGGTGCACTCGAAGCTTTGCAGAAGAACACCTGGGTGCACCTCGCTTGTCATAGCAAACAGGACTACGAGCAGCCTTACAATTCTCATTTCGCCATGAGAGATAAACCTCTGACACTGCTCGACATCATAGAGAACGACACTCCGCACGCTGAGTTCGCATTCTTATCCGCTTGTCGTACCGCTGTCGGCGATGAGGAGACGCCCGATGAGGTCATCCATCTCGCAGCTGGTCTCCAGTTTGCGGGGTTCAAGAGTGTCATTGGCACGCTGTGGGTGGTCGATGACGCTGTCGCAAAACACGTTTTTGAAGCTTTCTACGAGAAGATGTTTGAGAAGGGTGTTATGGATTGTACAAAGGCGGCCCGGGCACTCAACCACGCTACAAACGGCGTGAAGAAGAAGGTGCCGCTCGAGCAGAGGATGGTTTTCATTCATATTGGTGTATAATCCTATCTTGCATTGCTTCATCCTCGTCTGGTACGGTTCTAGTATAAATTGTTGATCTTTATCCCGTTGGCATACCTGTTGTGGGATTACCCTGATACTTGCTTTGCATCCCCTCGTGTTATCATCTACTCTTAGAAGCGACTTTTGAGACCTCATTCATTGCTCGAGTATTTGAAAAGTCGTCTTCTTATCTACGATAACTATTCCGCCGTATTCCTACCGCATCGCACGTCCTCCAATACATGGTCAACCAGATCCAGCCTGGTATACTCTTCCCCAAGCGAGTTCTTGGAATCTGCAGAAGCATTTAGAGTTAGGAATAGTCGGTGAATGTAGGATAGCCATACTTGTCATACAAGGATAGTACACCCGCGCCAGCCACACCACGAAGGATATTTGCACCTGCCCCAGCTTTTATCGCGTGTGTCAGATGGTTAACTGTATCACTTCAGCGCAAACTTGACCTACCGAATAATGACTTTGCACCCTCTTTGGCGATGATGTGCCTTCCAGCATCGATAAAGGATTTGTATTGTACCTACATCCATTAGTAGGTCGAGACGTGCTTTACATATGACAAGATGGTCTACCTTTTCCCCGGACGTCATCATCATTCGTCTCCTGATAGTGTCAAGCGGGTATGCCGCCAACGCCGCTCCCTGGAGGCTTATGTTTCAAGGTCATCGTAACTGTACAACCCTCGACTCACCGTCGTGCACATCCAACCTACAGCAAAAGATGCAGCAAAGTTACCGCGCAGATTTCCTACTAGAAATGTGTCTCTAATAGTGTCATATCCTCCGAAACTGTGTGACATCATTAACATGAAAATGCAGGTGTAAAAACATGAACGCACTAGAGACCTCGATACACGCAGATGCCAACTACACTGGGCACGAATCCTCTATATAAGCCAACAATCCCGTCGGAACGGATGGTCTGCCTGTATACGTCGATCAAACCGGAAAATTGGCGCTGCCCTCCTTTAGCGGAGCTTTTTCCATCAGCAGATAACCGTGTGCGGGCGCTGCATCATTACGGTGTGAATGTCTGTTTGTGTCTCGTAATATCATAGACGTACTAATCAAGTGAATACACGAAGACGGAGGAAGATGCACCAGCGGCCGCTCCACTGGCGACATTTCCTGACAACTCGTTTCGGCCATTCAATTCAAAAATATCAAGGAAGATTCTGCATACCAAAAACCCATAAACCGAATTGCTCTGATTTTTTGAAGCCAAACATCTGCTTGAATGTGTCTTTGAATGCAAAATTCAGGGCCTGGGTAGGGAAGTATCTGAGCACATTCGTCCCATTACCCCTCCATACTGTCTCTATGTTAGGATGAACGGCTGTACTGAGAAGTTCACGGCGCACGGCTGATGGTCCCTTCTTCTGAGACAGTTCGCTTAAAGCAGTCAGAGATACCCTTGTAGGGATGGTCGAGTCTTCCAGAAGCAATCATAGCTCCCTGGTTCTGTATAAGAAGTTTGATGCGTTCAATGGGAGCGGCTGCAGTTTTCGATATAGCAGCTGCGGTACCTCCCATCATGAAGTCGACTGATGAATCAAGTCAGTGAGGGCATAGACATCATCGTGAAAGGCATACCAAAGAAAGCGGTGGCGTCGGTAGGTTTTGTACTGGTCATTGTGACGGAAGCACTTCTCAGTGAAAGGGAAGACTAGTAATGCTGGCGAACGCCTCATTAGCTCCACGGCGTGCTCTTATAGCTCAAGGCGAAAGGAATGATACGGAGAGTATTGCACAAGTGCTCCAAGAGGGCAGTGCTCAGATCAACGTCGTATTCCGCATCGTTCCGAGCTAGCTGTTTACGCATTATATGTATCTTTCCAGGACGTTTCACTTACCAACTTACGGTCGCACCCAGTGGTACCAGGTTCATGCGAAATGTAACAATATGCCTGGCAATGTGGCAGGTCTCCAGACTGCCGTCAACTCGAATCAACAAAGTCATCCGCCATAGTAGTATTCGGTTTGGCTGTTCCAAACCCGCGGTCTAAACAAAATTTGGCAGTGGTGGCTGGCACAAAGCCGACTGGAACGGGGACCACGGCGACATTACATGGCACCTACAGATATTGGTCATTGTGTTTTCAAGGGTTTGTCGTCAACTCCCGCTGGTTTGCACGGATATCAATAATTTATGTAAACACATATTGAAACACCTGATGTTCGACGGGAAGCCACTCACTGAGAGCTGATAACAGCCTCGAAGTATATCAGTGACTCGGCCACATAATTCTGTCAGATTTCAAGCATGCACGACAGACCCGATTCTTCTACTGTAACGGAACTTGATTGTATTCGGTTAATGTAGTGCAAAGATGGAGCGCATTGAAAAACAGTGTCTCTAGTATCTCTTGAGGCGCCACCATCGCACACGTGAATTCTGAGCGGTAGGTATTAGAGCTCTAGAGGGTTAATGATGCTTTTCGGCCGGAGCCTTCAAGATCAGACGCAGGTCAGTGATGGTGGAGAGCGGGAGCCATCCGGCATTTGCCGAGGCATTCGAACTTCACATCATGGCCATTGGCCACTACTATAGCCCTTGCCATTGTCCAGAACATCTTACTACCATCGACCTAACATGCCACATTCACGAAACGCGAGCGACATCAGTGACCTGAATCCGTATATCTACCGTAACTTATGTGGAGCAGGCTCGACAGATTGTAGAGCAGCTAGCGACGAAGCAAGACAAGTGGATCAAAACTCCACCAAGCGTACACCGTCTACACGACGTGGACGCGTTCAAGTTCTAGATGCGATGCTGAGGAACTCGCGAAACTGGTGGCGAAAGCTCTACCATCTGTGCTAGTTGTGCGTGTCTGGCCATCCACGAGAAAGTTGACCCTGCGAGGACTTGGTTCACGTATCCGCTGTGGCCGTGTAAGTTAGAGGTTAGAAATCAATGTATACCATGGATATTAAATTACTTTCTTCTTTGCTAGTCTCGCCAGCCATCAGGCCTGATTTCTAGTCAAATCAGGTCGATTATTGACGACACCTATGGCAGCCTTTTAAGTTCCAACCCAGAACTACACGGATTTGGGAGCGACGGACGCCCTGCTGATAGAAAAGCGGCTTTTGGTGTTAGCTTGCAACAGGTTAGTAATAGACGAGATAGTTATAGATGTGTTGCTACAGAGAACACATACCCGCCGGTGTCAATCGCGAAACTTGAATGCGGCGCACATCCTGAAACGAGTCATCGGTGTTCTCACCATGGACTGGGTAAGGCTTTCTCTGCTAGCTTAGCGTTAACTCTGATCTTCAAGTTGGATTACGCAGGCACATACCGCAGTGACTCGGCCGCCCAATTCTAGTGATGAAATCAACTGTTGGCTTCGACCTCGAGTATGCACGACAAGTTTCTAGCTCATCTAATGGATATCCTGGATAATCCCTAGGAATTTGCCCTTGTCAGGAAGCGCATCCGAACCCTTACGACCATGATGGAACATCGTCAAGAGTCGTCGTTTGATCCCCAACAAGTTCCTTCTCTCTTGCGCCATTTTGTTAATCTTCTCACCCCCCGTGACGTTTTCAGTCCTGCAGTAAAGAAAACTATACCAATGACAGGCGCTATCATCTGTGATAGGGTTAGCGAGAGGTTTCAGACATTGGTAGTGATCTATATGGCCGTTCCTCCTCCCAGCGCGTTCTAAGCGAGCATCAGGGGCATGACTTTCAGGGCTAGCATGTTGTGCCAGCCCCTCCACTTGTCCAACTCCAGCTCTGTTGCGCCGGCACCGGGAACCAGCCGTGGATCTCTTATCAGGGACTCGATGGCATCATCAATCGCGTGCTCGAGGTCATCCCACCGCCTCCTTGATACCCTCTCTCCAGGAGCAAGCTGGTGGAGAACGGCGATTCGGTCTCCACCGATCTCTCTTGTCCCGAATATGTCGACGTAGCCTGCTTCTGGGGTGTGTGTGTGCCAATGTCCCACTCACGCAGCTCTGACACTCTGTGGTCACATTTGCTGTGGAGCATGCCTTCTCGCTGCTGTCAAATCCACAGTGAAGTGCACATGGTGATTGCTATGGACAAAGCCCCTCTTTCAAGGTTTTTCTTTATTTTCCTTCACGCTTTTTTGTCATTTTGATTCATAAATTGACCGATTTTACTCAGATGTCCCGTTTGCCGTGCTGAAATCGCTGGGTGGGATGGATGAGGAGGAAGGTAGTGGGGTTGAAAGCGGAAGTTGTTTTGAGCACGCCTCGTGTGATGGGAAACATATACACATGCGTGTTATATTGACCCATGTTCGAGACAACAACTTCTGGTCGAGGCTAACAAGCACTAGTCATTCTAATAATAACCCTTCTAGAAATTACACAGCATTGCAATCATCGCTACCCCTCCCGTTGTTATCGCGGTCGCCACGAAATCATGTGCTTCTGTGACTGATTGGCTGGAAACCGCCATGTCGCTTCAGCGTGGTTGTTGGTATTTAATAGTGGTACTCAGAGTAGTTTTGTAATTTTCGGTAAAGCTCGGTAAGGTTCCGGTAGAGCGCGGTTAGAAACCCACCAAACTCGGGCTAAACACGCACCTGACATGCGGCAGACTTCGGCACGATAGCGGACTTCGAAACGACACTTGTGTATTTTCAAAGGATGGGATACATGATGCGAGTGATTTGGGTACTGTAGGCAATCTAATATATGTATATGTACTTGTAATAAGAGACTAGAGTCCCCCCAAGGCACTTTGTGTGTATTTGAAACTCGCGGATGATGATAAAAAAGCGCCAGAGCTAGCCATATTGATGGCACTCAGCCCCAGTCGCATAGTCCTGAGGGGCACGGTCAAAATGGTACTGATTGCGGGAAGGTTGATCATCGAGTAGAGCTTAATCAGTAGTTCAGACACGATCACCCTGACACTTACAAGCTCGCGCAGTGAGTACATGATGACGGCCCCATCGTACATGCAGCGTGGCAAGTACATGATGACAGCTCCGTCGTACATGCGGAAAGGCTGACCATTCGAGGGAGGAGGGTAAGGCTGACTGCTGGAGGGAAGAGGGTAAGGAATGACCACTTGAGGGAGGAGGGTAAGGCTGACCGCTGGAGGGAAGAGGGTAAGGCTGACTGCTGGAGGGAAGAGGGTAAGGCTGACTCAGGCTGCTGGATGGAAGCTCGCGGCAAGTACATGATGACGGCTCCGTCGTACATGCAGCGCAGCAAGTACATGATGACGGCCCCGTCGTACATGCAGAAGGTTGACCACTCGAGGGAGGGTAAGGATGACCGCTTGAGGGAGGAGGGTAAGGCTGACTGCAGGAGGGAGGGGGGGGGGCTGAGACCGAGGGGGGGCTGAGACTGCTGGGCGTTAAATTGAGCACACCCAGAGCGCAAGGTTTCAGAATATGAACTTGAGGGAGGAAGGTGAGGGGGACCGCTAGGATTAGCACTGATGGGAGTGGGGAAGGTAGACTCCTTCTGGATGTTGTAGTTGGAATGGGTATGACCAGCCTCGAGCTGCCTGCCGGTGAAGTTAGAATACCGCAGGTCAGGTGGGATGATCAGGCGCACAAGATGAAACATCGGAACATTCCGAATTTTCAAACTCCGCTAAAAGTGCGCTCACATATACCAGCCAGATAGGAGTTTCGATCCCCTTGATCCCCATCATGCCTCGTCAATCCATACGTGCACAGATGCTGAATGAAATCGACCAGGATGCCCTTGTGGTAGCCAGGGCGAGGCACCAGCTCATCACGGAAGACGACGACTCTACAGACTCTATCTCGAGCGTTGACTCCTTCGACCTTACCCGCAGCTCGGATCTTGATATTTTCTTGAATATTATGCTTTCCCCCCCTTTGCCTCTGTCTCCGGTCTTCTCTGGCTTATCTGATTTTTCTGACGGCGACACCTCTTCAGATGATGATGATCGTATTTTCGCCCTCTATAATCGCCTCCAAGACTCCATTGCAGCTCTCCGGGATGAAGTTCTGAGGGCCCGTGTACTCCACAGGCCTGAGGTACCTCTCCCACGAGCCCCGCAGCTCCACCTTCTAGTTCATTTCAGTGAACATCGCCCTCCCTTATTTTGTCACAAATTGCGGGTCGACCCAGACATCTTCGATAACATCCTTGATCTAATCTCTGGCCATCACATTTTCCACAACAACTCGAACAACCCCCAGCTTCCTGTCGCCATTCAACTTGCTATTTTTCTCAACCGTGCTGGCCACTACGGGAACGCCATCTCTCTAGTGGATGTGTCTCAATGGGCAGGCGTTAGTGTCGGCTCTGTTGTTAACTGCACTAATCGTGTAATGGTCGCCCTCCTCGACCAGCATGACACTTTCATGAGCTTCCCTCCCCATGATTCAAAGGATTTTGAGCTCGCTCGGAGGTATAGTGTAAAGGCTAGCACTTGCCCTGAGTGGCAGAATGGAGTCCTAGCTGTTGATGGGACAACAGTGGATTTGTATGCAACACCAGGCTTTTTCCACCAGGTGTTTTATGATAGGAAATCAAAGTATTCCCTTGGCTGTCAAGTGAGTTTGCTTTTTATTTATTTATTTACCGTTGAAAATTAAAATAAATTCAAGGCAGTCATTATGCCCCACAACCTTCTCATAGTCGATTATTCTCTCGGTCACCCCGGAAGCGTCCACGATGCATATGCATTCAGATCCACTCGTATCTATCAAGAGCATGATACCCTTCTGCCAGCTGATCACTGGGTCTGGGCGGACAGTGCTTATCCACTGAACACCTGGTGTATTCCCCCTTTCAAGAAGCCCCGTAATGGTCGTCTGACAGCAAATCAGAGGACATTTAATTGAGCCCCTTCAGTGACAAATCCCGTACTATACGGGTCACCCGACCTACATAATATCCCGTGTAATACGGGCCAGCGGATCATGGGCCGATGATATGTATATTCCCGATGCTGATGGGTGGGCCGGGAGGAATATTATTTCCGATGGAGACGGGTGGGCCCATGTATGCTGATGTTATATATATCATTGACAATGGTGGATGGGCCGGGAAAAATATTATTATGGAGATGGGTGGGCCCATGTGGGTAATATGTAGAGTAGGATTGACATATATTATAGACCTGAGGAGAGATGTATAGCAAATATTATTATATAAATGGGTGGGCCGACGTATTAGTATTATTTTGTAGACAGATGGGCCGAGGGAGCAGTGGAATATTTATTAGATAGACGGGTGGGCCGATGTAGGGAAATATTAGATAGACGGGTGGGCCGATGTCAGGTATTTTAATTTGATGGGTGGGCCGACGTGGGGTATTACTAGGTAGACGGGTGGGCCGAGGGTGAGGCGAATTATGTATTACATAGACGGGTGGGCCGAGGGTGGGGTGAAATATTTATTATATAGACGGATGGGCCGATATGGGTTAATATTAGATAGACGGGTGGGCCGAGGGTGAGGTGAATTATTTATGAGATAGATGGGTGGGCCGACATAGGGAAATATTAGATAGACGGGTGGGCCATGTTCGTGAGTCGCGACCTGCTAACAAGTTCGGGTGTCGTTTTTCCCCCCCATAACCGCCCACCAGAAATTCCGAGATGGAGAACAAAGAGAAATTTGATAAATACCTCATCCAAACACTGGAGCAACTGGTTGGGGCGAAAACAGAAGCTACCACCCTGAGCAAGAGAGTCACCACACTACAAGATGCAACAAATGAATGCGACCAGTTGAGTGCATTGAAGGAAGAAGGGGTATATTAGATAGACAGGTGGGCCGAGGGCGAGGTGAAATATTTATTATATAGAAGGGTGGGCCGACGTGGGTTAATATTAGACAGACAGGTGGGCCCAGATATGAATCATATAGACAGATAGGCCTAGGTATTGGTATACTATATCCACAAAAGCACTGAACGAGAACCAGAGAGCTGCCTCATTTTGACTCAGACTCAGCGACGAGTGATACAGTCACGTTTCGCCACAGTGCTCATGAATTGAAACATCTTGGTCGAGTAGATAGATACAAGAAAGCCTGAATAAGCCATGTCTGACATTCACCAAGTACCGAGACCCGAGACACGAGACCCGGTGCTCGGTACTCGGTACTCGGTACTCGGTGAAATGTGTACAGACAAATATCAGATGAGACACACTATATAATGTGACAATTTTATGTCTGTACACACTCTGTGTATCATGTTACATTTTTGTCTGTACACATTTCACCAAGTACCGAGCACCGGGTCTCGGGTGTCGATACTCGACACGAAACAAACATCTCGAATCTTGAATCTCAACACTCGAAACTCGTATATGATACACATTTTGCTCTGAGATTTGTATTTCTGTTAAGATTGGAGTTTCGAGTTTTGTTTCGTGTCGAGTACTGAGACCCGACGCCCGACGCCCGACGCCCGAGACCCGAGACCCAGTACTCAGTACTCGGTGACATGTGTACAGACAGAAATGTAACATGATACACAGTGCTTACAGACATAAAACTATAACATGATACACAGAGTGTCTACAGACATAAACATGTAACATGATACAGTCTGTACAGAGATAAAAATATAACATGAAACATAGGAGTACCGAGTACCGGGTGTCGAGTGTCGGGTGTCGGGTGTCGGTACTTGGTACACGGTACTCGGTGAAATGTGTACAGAAAAATGTAACATGATAGAGTGTATAATATAACATTTTTATGTCTGTACACATTTCACCGAGTACCGCGTACCGTGTACTGAGTACCGACACCCGACACCCGACACCCGACACCCGGTACTCGGTACTCCTATGTTTCATGTTACATTTTTATGTCTGTACAGACTGTATCATGTTACATTGCTCTGTACACATTTCACCGAGTACTGTGTACTGGGTACCGACACCCGACACCCGACACCCGACACCCGATTTTTATCTCTGTACAGACTGTATCATGTTACATTTTTATGTCTGTAGACACTCTGTGTATCATGTTATATTTTTGTCTGTAAGCACTGTGTATCATGTTACATTTTTCTTTACACATTTCACCGAGTACTGTGTACTGAGTACCGACACCCGACACCCGACACCCGGTACTCGGTACTCCTATGTTTCATATTTTTGTCTGTAAGCACTGTGTATCATGTTACATTTGTCTTTACACATTTCACCGAGTACTGTGTACCGAGTACCGACACCCGACACCCGACACCCGACACCCGACACCCGACACCCGGTACTGGGTAAAATGTGTACAGACAAAAATGTAACATGATACGTCTGTACACATTTCACCGAGTAACAAGTACCGGGTGTCGGGTGTCGGGTGTCGGGTGTTGGTACCCAGTACACAGTACTCGGTGAAATGTGTACAGAGCAATGTAACATGATACAGTCTGTACAGACATACAAATGTAACATGAAACATAGGAGTACCGTGTACCGGGTGTCGGGTGTCGGGTGTCGGTACTCGGTACACAGTACTTGGTACTCAGATCTTGTTGATGGACAGTCAGAGATCACATTCATTGAAAACTTGTATATACATCTATTACTACAAGATTATGTAGCCATGTCAACCTCCTCAGAAGGCTCTTCAACCTTCACCTCCACCTCAACATCCATGTCATCAGAAGAGTCATATTCTGGGACAAGGTTGCTTGGATCACCTGGGTCCACAATGGAGCCGGACGCATCTGGATCCTCTGGATGAGCATCGCCAGAAGCATCTGGATCCTCTGAATGAACGACCTGGTTGTATTCAAACAGGATGCCATCAATGGCAGAGGCATCCGGGAGTGTTGGGGTTGGGGTTGTGGGAGGAATGTCATCCATGATGAGATCAATGAGGGGCGGGAGTACAGATGCGGTGGTTGATATGGTGGGGGGGCCGGATTGATTGAGCAACAAGGATGATGCATTGGCAGGAAGATCGGGCAGTGGGAATGAGGGGTGCCGGTCGATGATTTCGCGCCTAAGGCCTTCATGAAGGCGTTGCAGGGTGTCAATCTTACCATCCTGCTGTGCCACACGAGCCTCCAGAAGAGCGATTCGAGCTGCTCCATCACGAATCGCAATGGACATGGCATGGAGATCCGGCATGGGCACATCAAGTGCTGCAGCAGGGACTGCCGGGCCACGTGGTGCAGCCGGGACTGCCGACCTGGGCGCCGGAAGCGCTAGAATGGAGGCCAAAGGTCAGGGGGTCATGGGAAAGATGTGGGGTGACTTACGAGCTGGTGCAGGTGCAGGTGCAGGTGCAGGTGCCTTGACAGCAGTGATGGTCTTGCTGCGACCACGCGTCTGGGTCTTGGGGGCTGTCACAGGAGTGACACTGGAAGTTCCGGACGGGCCACGAGACTGACTGTGAGTGCGTGCCTTGGATTGGGAGGCAGGGGGCACTTTGGAGGGGGCAGGGGTTTGGGACGCGGGGGGGGCATTGGTGGGAGTCTTGGAGGGAGCCTTGGAGGGAGCCCTGGATGGCGTCCTGGACTTGGTCGTCCGGGTGGTAGAGGAACCACGAACGCGAGGAGGCGGGGATCCCATATACGCGGGGGTGCATTTGATCTTCTTTGTGGTGCAGTAGACGCACGATGTACCCGGAGCCCCGGTCTTCTTGGTGTACCGAGTTGCGCAAGGCCAGTCTTGCTTTGTGCATGCGTGGCACGGGTTGTTCTGTAAGGTGTATTAGTGTATGGAAGTACATCAGATAAAGAAAGGTACTTACTGGTCCGGGAATCAGGATGTCACCTCCATCCCCAGCTGGGGGTGCCTGCGCAGGGGGTTCGGGAGTTGGCTGGGAGGGCTCGACGACTGCCTAGTGACTGCCGGCAATCGCCTGGTACAATGTAAGCATACACCCGAGGCCCAGACACATAAATGGGACTTACAGTGGCAGGGCCAAACAGTTTTTTCGTCGGAGCCCTGGGGGATCGAGGGGAAGTGGGCGCCCTTGCGAGAATTGTGGAGTACAGGGGAACAAGGACCTCCGGCACTCCACGCGAAAACAAGGGCTGCAGGAAGATGTGAGACAAGGAAAAGAAGAACCAGACGACATACCTTGATAGTCGGTTCTTCATCTTCTGACTCCACGATGGGCTTGGACTTCACAACGCGAGATGACCGCGTACACTTGTGAGTCTTCATCGCCAACTTCGGGGGTTGGGAGGAGTGCTCTGACATCATGGGAGACTTCCTCTTCCTACTCCCCTCCGCCTCGGGCTCTGGGTCAGCAAAGACGGCCTTACCTTTGCCCTTGTCACGGAACTCGGTGGTGGGGAGGGTGGAAGGGCCGGCAACATTGCTGGCAGGAATGGCTGGGGAAGGAAGGTGGACAGGAATGGGACCTGTGGATGGGAGGGCGACAACTGGGAGATTGAAGGCCGGGTCACCTAAGGCCTCCCAGGCTTGGACCTTGGGGTACCAGACGTGCCTCAGAACGCGGGGATCGTCATACCCGATCGCGTGCCAGGATGGCCAGACCTTGGGAACCATGTTCCGGATGTGCTGGAGCTCCTTGATGCAAGAAATGACGAGTCCGGGCATGGGACCATCCCCGGACCCATAGATCTTGGCTACCTCAGACTGCCTGGATGTGAGAGGCAAAAAAAAACAAGAAAAAAGATAAATACATACCACAAGTGTAGCAACCTGCTTTCCCAGAGCTGCATGGCTGGGACCCGGGGGAATCTGCCGGGCAGCGCTGATGATGGCCATGATCTGGCCAGTGGAGTCCTTGAGGTCGGTCAAAGAGTTGTTGACTGGAGTGGACATGATGGTTGAGTTGGGAGATTTAAGGATCTTGAAATCAGAGTGAAATCAGTTGTCAGAAAGATGATGTTTCAAAACAAACAAGACATTTGATGGACGATCTATAAAATCGCTCATTGTTTGTGTTTGTTTGGCTGTGGTTCAACTTTCGGCAATTGCCGGATTTGTGTTGAACTTCGAAGTTTTTTCAATCATCAGTCAACCAGACCACAAATTCTCCACAGAACATGAGTTCCCATCCAGCTGTTAGATTTAATGACCCCCCAGTGACTGACTGTAATGCTATGGATGTGGATGACTCATCTATGGGCCGGGTATCACCAGGTATGTTGTATTCTCTTATCATTCCTTATCTATTTACCGGGTATCCCTCAGATGACTTAGATGGCTTATACCTCGGGCCGGAAGATGACTTAGAACATGTTTCCATGTCATCAGGACCCCCGGGTGCAATGGCTGACATTCCCGGTATGTTTATACCTTCCTTTTCATCTGGGATCACCATCCATTCTCACTTCACCCTTGAAGATCAATCAGATCCAGGCCAGGCCGATGATGCCGGCTATCTCGTCGATCCAGACTTGTACCTCAGGCCTGAGGATGATGTCATTGATGTTGATGAGCTGCCGGATTCTGCTTATCCTCCCAGTGTTTCCCCGGCTGCCTCAGATGTATCTAGTTCATGTGCGTTCATTCCTTCCAGAGCATGATTAATCCTGATCATATCTCTCCAGCCGAAACATCATCTACCGAACTTCCTGCAGACAAGCCGGAGCTCGATATTGAAGACCTATGTTTGATGGTCCGGGAGTTCCATCCTTTCGGACAATACCAACATGAAAAATGTGAGTATCTGACACCAGAGTATTTATCTGTTTGCTAATTTTTCTGGAAGACCAATCCATTAAAGATCGACTGGGTGATTACAAACGCCGTACTGGAGGTCTTCCTGACCCTTCCATCCAACTACTCCTTGAGGCCGAGCGACCATTCCGAACTGCCTGGGCAGAGACTTCCGACAAACTGAAAAAAGCTGATGCAGACCTACAAAGGTTGCAGAGAGTTGAGCAGATGAGCATTGAAATGCTCAAGGTAGTTGATTCTCTGATTGCACTCTTTGAAGAAGACAAACCAAAGTAAATTACTGTATTAGAACCTCTGAATTTTCATTCACCTCCCCACATCATGTAAACTACTTCACCTTTCAATTCACGTCCCTGGGCGTCGTACGGGACTCAGTGTTCGATAGTCAGGACTGTTGAATATTCAATTGTCAGGATTCAATACTCCATGCCGGGGACCCAATGCTTATGTTCGGTACTCGGGACTCTACACTCGATGTTCGGGACTCGGCTTTACGGACTCGAGATTCGATGTTTGGGACTCAATGGTAGGAGCCCGATGTCCTGGGACTCAGGTGTTCGATAGTCGGATTCAATATTCGGGACTCGATGCTCGGGACAATGGAAGGAACTCGATGTCAGGGACTGCGTCTTCGATAGTCGGGATTCAATATTCGGGACTCGATGCTCGGGACTCGATGTTCGGGACAATGTTCCTGACTATTCGACATGATTGAATCACATTGATATTTACATACATGCAGGTATGATACTCGATAGGCGGAACTCGGTGTTCGATAGTGTCAGGAAGGACACTAGAAATTCCGAGATAGAGAACAAAGAGAAATTTGATAAATACCTCATCCACACACAGGACACCAGACATTCTAGGACTATTCGATATGATTGAAACACATTGACATTTACATAAAGGCAGGTAAAGGCAGGGAGTGTAGTATATGTCTATTGCTTCTTTCCCCTCGCTCTGGTCACTCGAGGGCTAGTGTCCAATGGCTTTTGTGTTGACTTACTCCGGGTAGTCCTCGCCGAAGGCTCAATCACAGCCTTATTTCCCCGCATGTTTTTCGGTGCCGGTGACCTATTGACTCCATTGATTGCGCCATCCTCCTGAACATTGTTGGTGACCCCCTCAGTCAGTCCAGCCAGGAGGTTCGCCCATTCGCGATGTCAGCAGTGCACTCGATCTCCCTGCATTGACCGGGCGAGGCTTTGGAATTGCACGTGGGACCGCTGTCCCTTCATGTGCTGTCGAAGGACCAGGCTCTGCTCTGCGTCTCTTTCGCGGGGATCTACCTTCCAATGCGTCATCACCTGCATCATCCTCCATGTGATCAGTGTCACCCTTGGGATCACTCTCGGGATCACTGTCAGTTTCGGCCTCCCGAGGCCTTCGGATCATATCTCTTCTACCTTTACGAGCCCGATGAGAAGGTAAATTCCCGGCTACAACCGAGGGTACCATGTCCCCATCTCTGTTCTTCCATGCTTTGAACAGGAACATTGGACCTTTGCCTCTCTCCTGCCGAGCATACCAGAAGTTCAGTAGGGCGGTCGTGTCCCAATGTTGCAGCTTCGATGGCTCCTTCAAGTCCACATCCGCCGGAACATACTGTCTTGCCACAAAGTCATCCTGACTTTGTACGATGGCGCTCCATGGCACGACTGCCTTTTTCGATCCCGGAACAGATACCTGTAAAAATGCATTGAACAAATGTTAGGGTGTTGTGACGATCGACTCACGATAGTGAGATGTAAGAAATGCTCTGACTATGGCTTTCTTCTCCTCGAGTTTTGTTTCGGTGATGTCTGGAAGCAACGGCATCCCATCCCCGTCGGTCTCGAGTTCGAAAGCAGGCTTCCTGATTCTCTTTCGACCTCCCTTCACCTGTCGCCCTCCGTCCCGTGCCCCGGCACCTATCATGAGAAAGATCAACCAATTCATTCCAGTAGCCAGAGTTCGAACACTCACCGAATTGTTCCTGTGCGTACTCCTGCCAAACTGGCTCGATGTCCTCCCAGTCCTTCGTCTTCATGAAACTGTCCCCATCTCCTAACGCCTCGTTATCATCAGTGCCTGCATGCAAATGTATTGAGATAGAAGATCTGACATGACAAAATTGACTTACATCCCGAACAGCACCTCTCCCTGTTCATTCTTCCACGCCGACATCACAAACACTCTCATCCTGCATTGCCTCCACATCTCCTTCGAAAAGTGCTCCATATAAGCCGGTCCCTTCTTACGAGCCACTTGTGCTTGTATCTCGGGAGGCGGGAAGTTGGTCGACCATTCTTCAGGCTGTTTCCTTCAGCCTTCTCCAACTCATCATCGGACAATTCGGCCATGACTCTCTTCACAGCCGCCTGATAATGCTTGAACATACCTGGGACCTCCTGGCTTTGCCCCGGACTCTTCCTCAATCCTCTTCAGCACCTCCTCCCGCTTCTGCTGGTAGACCACCTGCCTAGGAGTCCATTTCCTACCATACTTTATCATGTCCTTTCTCTCCTTCTTTTTCTTGTTGTTGAACAACCATGTCTTGTACATCTGAGAGTTCATGGATGAATGAGATGTTAAAATTTTAGTTTTGAGCGAAGCAAGGATGAATCACCTGCTTCCTCTTCTTCCATTGTGCTTGGTCGACCTTGGGAGCAAATAGCCTGGCAGCCCTAGCTATGGCAGTGAAAACTGCCCTGCTTCTCATTCCTTTTCGCCGAAGTCCACTCAGGAAGGTAGTTCTTCAACTCCGAAATTTCGGAGTCCGTGAGCTTCTGTGTCTGTGGTTGGCGGGCCCTATGTCTTCCAGAACTGGAAGTCAACTGAGTGGAATGACCCGATCTTGCCATTGTGAATGAGATTGCAGAAAGGGCTGAGGATGAGCAAGGTGGAAGTAATAATGGTGACAAGTTGAACTTTGAGCAAAGCCTAACAATTGGTTAATCGACCCATATTGGACGCAATTCCATTAATGGAAATGAATTTGTAATGACGCATCAAGACTGCATAGCATCGCATTGCAATAACAATTTATTCATATTCCTGAGCTAATGCTTTGCTTGCAGCCTCAGAAAATAAGATGAAGATAGGTAGATGCACCCCACTGCAAAAATCCCACAGGGTAGAAGCCAGGGGCAGCAAGGGTAGGAAGACTTGGGTCAAGGTCCCTCTTGCAAGCAAAAAAAGACATGCCTACAGGTCCATGCCGAACTCTCCCCCAGAATCACCAACACTTCAGCCTGTTGAGGCACCACCTCTTTGGGAAGACATTCCTGACAATACTTACGAGCACGAGCAAGGCTCATTCGAGCCTTTGCAACTCCCAAAAACCATGGCAAGTTCATGTAAAATGTTGCATTGCAATTCAAATGATAGCTAAGTATAACAAATGCAGAGTCAGAATGACTACCTGAGGCAATGGCTTCCAAGGCAGGAATCATATCTACATCACCTCCTGGATCGAGAAGCTCCACCAGAAGATAGGAGATGCGTCGTCTGCGACCAGGATGGGGTCTACAAATGTCAAGATTGTCTTGGGGAGCCACTGTATTGCACTGGCTGTTGCAGAAGTCAGCATCTTTGCAATCCCTTCCACTGGATCAGTCAATGGAATGGTCAATTCTTTGAGCAAAGTTGTCTCGCTCACGTCGGACTCGTCATACACCTCGGTCATGAGGGCAAACAATGTCCGGCACTTACAGACAGGTGGGATTTGTTCGAAGAAGACGAACCTGAAGATCAGCTTGAGCCTGAAGATCTACCGAGTGTGTCGGGACCCGAGTTCCAACCAAAGGAGAACACCATGGTGATCATTGACAAGTCCGGGGTTCATCGCCTCCAGGTTCGATGCTGTGATTGTCCAAATGCCATGACTCCAGACCTTCAAATGTTTCGACATGGATTTTTCCCCGCCTCATTTAACAAGCCGAAGACTTTGTTCACCTTCAGGGTGCTCGATGATTTTCTATTGGACAACCTTGAATGTGGGACCTCGGCGATGAACTATTACAGCAAGCTCCGGCGAATGACCTCCAACATGTTTCCACACCTCGTACCGGTAATGCTATATCTCTCGTCTAAAGGAAATTGTATTGACAAAGCACGTGGCAAGGACCGATACCGAGAGCTCATGAGAGTCGCCCGACAGTGGAGGCAGTTGAAGGCCATGAAATGGCATGGATTTGGCCATCGTTCCGACAGCCCGAATGCAGGTGATCTTGCATTATTTTGCCCCGCTTGTCCTCAGCCAGGGATCAATGTATCCTTGTCAGGGGATGAATCACTTGATGAGTGAGTCTCGTTCGATACAGAAGTCACCTCAGGTATAACAACAACTCCAAGGTGGAAATACACCCGGTCATTTGTTATGGACGGAAATTTCAAAGCCGAACACCTGCATCCCATGAAGCCATTCGATGAAGTTTGGCTGTCAGATGGGTTGGGATTCATGGTGGGAAAGGACAGGTATAAAACTCATCTCGCAGAGGCTGCCGACACTTTAGAAAAATCAAGCTGCAGCAATCACCGGGCAGTAAATCAAGCAAATGCGGCTCGGCACAAACTGGAATCCACAGGCATCGGGGGAGTAGCCTGTGCTCGACACGGCTGCTTTGTTCCTCACTCGATGGTAGATTTTCAGAAAGGCAAAAGGCAAGCCCACCCTGCCATTCGACATTCACGAGTTAACCATGCATCATTCCCAGACAAATGAACATGGACTATGCCCTTTGTGAGGCTGCCCACCACAACATGGAAGGCATAACCAGGGCGGTCACCTTCTATGATATCAACTGTCAATACAACAAACACTTTCGGGCTCGGGTGGATCGAAGCCGATTTCTCGAAATGGTTCCAGAATTGACCATCATTCCCGGAATTGGGTTGTGGCACATACACGGACATCAGGACAGCTGCTACGTCCGATATGCGTCGAATTTTATTGAAGGCATCGGTCGGATCGATGGAGAGATCATGGAGACCCTATGGTCACGTCTTAACCTGATTTCTCCTGCTGCCCATGGAATGTCATCCCCGCATCGAAAGGAATGTCTCGATTATCAGATGAACGATTCCAATTTCTGCAAGATGATCCGCATGAAAAGGACCCTTTCCCGTAAATACAAGCAGGCGAAGAATGGCATCGCCGAAAGCGAAAAGGCTTTCGAGAGACTCGACGAAGCCGCACCCGGCGATTCAAAGACAGAATGGTTAGCCAGCGAGAGCATCGCTCAGTCCAGCAGAATAAATGATCCTTCGGCTATGGATGTATATGAGATCAATATCAAGAAGGGTAAGTTGACTTTGTCTTCATCAAAGTCCGAATTAATTTTCCACTCAGCACCGAGCAAAAAGGAGATCGAGCTTAGACTACTGGAGGAGGGTAATGCCCGAAATGCAGCGCCTGCTCGTAGATCTGTGGCGACATGGATATCAATGGGGTTGGCAATTGAAGAAGCTCAAATCGCATTGCTCATCGAGATCCGAAGAATTGGTAGAAGAACTACCGAGACACAGAGGTTAGACATCGCCCGGCAACGTGATCGTCTCCAAGGACAGATAGATGGATTCACTCGGTCTGCTATCACTCATCTCAGAGAGGGATTTGATGCAGATGACGATCCTGATGACTTGAACGTAGACATTCTCGATGATCTCGATGATGACTCGACAGACTTCACAGAGACATCTGACACGTGGGCGAACTCCCCCGAGCTCACTGTAATCCCATTGCCATCAAAACCTCGGGGTAGAATCGATGCAGACCACTGCATGGCAGAGGATCTCATTCCGCTGGAGTTGTCCCTTCGTGAGGGCAGGGCCAACGACTCCCTTCAAAACCTCCGAATTCACTTGTGCAACAAGGCGAATTCTGTTCCGAACAACAGTTAGGCAAGCGAAATCCCAGGCCCTGAAAACTCGAGCTTGGTCCCAGGTGACGTCCGTGCAGCAGGCAGTGTCCCTGCACGGCAAGTATATATACGTAAGACAAGGGAATCAAATGAGTGCATGCCACCACTTTGAGCCTAGCGAAGACCAGGTGCAGAAATACAAACCCCTGCTTTGCGAGCAGCTCAAAATCAGCACTGCCGTTGGCGATCCACATGCCCGAGGTCAGGCGAAACGAGTCCCTCACTTGGTTCTGGTCTGTCGAAGTTGACACTGGGGGGTCCTGATCAGGCCGTGGAATCAGGAATGGAGTTTATGCATGCTTGACATATCCCTTGCGTCAGCTGCGGACCCATCCAAAGTTTACCAAGTGCATTGGCTTCGGCAAAGGCCCTACGAGATAGATGGAAGGAAGAAATGATGTTGGTGGAATTGGGAGATGGATTGGACATACAACTTTTTCTTGTGGAAAGCAACCCGAATGGGGTGACAGGATCGCGAGTCATTGGTGAAAACCTTCCGGGTCATGCATGCTACTCTGGAAGGCAATCCCAAATGTATTCATTGCTTGCACAGGATGCCCAGGGCAGCATTTCAAGACCTGAAGGGCGGGGTTTATAGAGGCTCGAGATGAATCGAATTTTCTTTGCCATAAGATATGCAAACAGCTACTTGGACCCACAGCATTTCAATCCCGGGAATTGGCCGGGTCGACCCCTATCTGAGTTTGCCCGGATCAACCCAATGTCGGAATTTGAAAAATTTTATCCAATCAACCAGTAGGCTCATATCTTGACCCTCCGAACCAACTGCATTGTGATTGTCATTTCCAGTTTCATAATACTGCATCAAGCATGTCTGTAGTGCATCCTCCCCCTGCATCATCTTCTCATTCTCAGAATTCCGGCAAAAGGGGTTCAAACCCCTCACACTCACTCAGGCAGATCTTGCAGCTACAATGGCAATGGCTGGATCTCGGATCCGAGCCTGCCATATCTCAATATCAGATGGAGGCTGCCCACACCAAGGAGCCTTCTGCTGCTCGGATCATGCACTTCAAAGCCGAGCTGCAATGGGAGATATCTGTAAGAGACTGATGACTGTGATGGTCCAATGCTGACATTTCCAACAGACTTTTGTGACTCCCATCCTGCAGTACTCAACTGCCAGGCACATCATTTTGGTTGTTCCAAGCCCGGTCACTCATATTCTTCTGTTGATTCCCGAGCTCACCTGGAACATGGTTCCGGACGACGTCTTTTCATCCCACCTGTGCGAGTTTCATGATGATTCAGATCTGGGGGATCCCTCCCGGATTGTATCATGCTATGGAGCTCAATGGTGGACCGGGACAACTGAAATCCCACAGGAAGTATGGGAATGGGATCTGGTATTCGCTAATTGTATATGTCACTACCAGTATTGGCTTGTAAGACCTTTACAAAGTTTCCTTGGGTGATAACTAATCCTTTCTAGTCAGGAGTTGAGAATGAACGTATTGTTGTTCCCGAGAAGGTGGCTGACACCTCGGTTGCATCACTGAAGGCACTGAGGTGGATGAGAGAACGCCTCCTGACAGTGATTCAGGATCAACAAGATGGCATCCGCGAAAAGATGGCTGAGATTGAGATGTACACAGCCGTCCTAACCAAATTGAAGCCTAGGGGACCGGAGTAGTTGTAGTCCTTCAGTTCAGAATGAAGTCTAAATTCTGTATAAAATGCACTTACGGGAATATCGAGACCCGAAGCCCGACTCTCGAGTCGTGATACCCGCGTCCCGAATATGACAACCCGAACATCGAGGCCCGAAACCCGAAACCCACCATCAAGTCCCGACCATCGAGTCAATATCGAGTCCCGACAAGCGAGTCCCGAGCCCCGAAGCCCGACTGTCGAGGCCCGAAGCCCAACTGTCAGGCCCGAAACCTGAAGCCCGACTATCGAGTCACGAATACGAATACCCAACATGCAGTCCTGACCATCGAGTCAATATTGAGTCCCAACAAGTGAGTCCCGAGCCCCGAAGCCCGACTGTCGAGGCCCGAAGCCCGAAGCCCAACTGTCAAGGCCCGAAACCCGAAGCCCGACTATCGAGTCACGAATACGAATACCCGACATGCAGTCCTGACCATCGAGTCAATATCGAGTCCCAACAAGCGAGTCCCGAGCCCGAAGCCCGACTGTCGAGGCCCGAAACCCGACGCCCAACTATCGAATCCCAAATATGAATACCTTAACATGCAGTACCGACCATCGAGTCAATATTTTAGTCCCTACTCTCGAGTCCCGAAACCGACGCCCGACTCTCGAGTCCGAACCCCGCACCCTGACATTTAGTCCCGAACACCGCACCCTGACTAATTAGTCCCGACAATCGAGGCACTATCGAGTCCTGACAAGTGAGTCCCGAGCCCTGAAGCCCGACTATCAAGGCTCAAAAACCCGAAGCCCGACTGTTGAGTCCCGAACCCCGCACCCCGACTATTTAGTCCCG